TTGTTAAAATCCCCGGCTACAATAAATGCAGCCTCAGGATATGTAGTTTGCTTAAAGTCCAGTGAAGTTCTTTGAGGACCGTCGTGGTATCGGCTTGAGGGGGGATATACACAGCCGTGATTATAACCAAAGAAAATTATCTTGGGAGATAATACGGTCGGCATTTGATTGTGAGGTATTCTAGGTCGGGTGAACAGAAGGACTTAAGTTCCTGTATGTTACTACAATTACACCATGAGTCGTTAATCATGAAACACACACCTCCGCCCTTCTGCTTCCCGGAGAGATATTTATTCCTGTCTGCGCGATGAACTGAGAACCCATCTGGCTGGACCGATTTCGACAGAATATCCCCAGAGAGCCATGTTTCCGTGAAACAAAGTATGTTACAGGTCTTGATGTCTCTCTGGAAAGAAATCCTTGCCCGGAGCTCGTTGAGTTTGTTAGACTGAACATTAGCGAGTAGTTTACTTGGAAGCGGTGGGTGGTGTGCGCGCCTCCTACATTTTACATTTACATTTTAGTCATTTAGCAGACGCTCTTAACCAGAGCGACTTACAGGAGCAATTAGGGTTAAGTGCCTTGCTCAAGGGCACATTAACGTCATTTAGCAGACGCTCTTAGCCAGAGCGACTCACAAATTGGTGCGTTCACCCTATAGCCAGTGGGATAACCACTTTACAATTTGGGGGGGGGGGGGGGGTTAGAAGGAATACTTTAGCCTATCCCAGGTATTCCTTAAAGAGGTGGGGTTTCAAATGTCTCCGGAAGGTGGTGAGTGACTCCGCTGTCCTGGCGTCGTGAGGGAGCTTGTTCCACCATTGGGGTGCCAGAGCAGCGAACAGTTTTGACTGGGCTGAGCGGGAGCTGTGCTTCCGCAGAGGAAGGGGAGCCAGCAGGCCAGAGGTGGATGAACGCAATGTCCTCGTTTGGGTGTAGGGACTGATCAGAGCCTGAAGGTACAGGGGTGCCGTTCCCCTCACTGCTCCAAAGGCAAGCACCATGGTCTTGTAGCGGATGCGAGCTTCAATTGGAAGCCAGTGGAGTGTGCGGAGGAGGGGGGGTGACGTGAGAGAACTTGGGAAGGTTGAACACCAGACGGGCTGCGGCATTCTGGATGAGTTGTAGGGGTTTAATGGCACAGGCAGGGAGCCCAGCCAACAGCGAGTTGCAGTAGTCCAGACGGGAGATGACAAGTGCCTGGACCAGGACCTGCGCCGCTTCCTGTGTAAGGCAGGGTCGCACTCTCCGAATGTTGTAGAGCATGAACCTGCAGGAGCGGGTCACCGCCTTGATGTTGGCGGAGAACGACAGGGTGTTGTCCAGGGTCACGCCTAGGCTCTTCGCACTCTGGGAGGAGGACACAGCGGAGTTGTCTACCGTGATGGCGAGATCATGGAACGGGCAGTCCTTCCCCGGGAGGAAGAGCAGCTCCGTCTTGCCAGGGTTCAGCTTGAGGTGGTGATCCGTCATCCATACTGATATGTCTGCCAGACATGCAGAGATGCGATTCGCCACCTGGTTATCAGAAGGGGGAAAGGAGAAGATTAGTTGTGTATCGTCAGCGTAGCAATGATAGGAAAGGCCATGTGAGGATATGACAGAGCCAAGTGACTTGGTGTATAGGGAGAAAAGGAGAGGGCCCAAAACCGATCCCTGGGGGACACCAGTGGTGAGAGCACGTGGTGCGGAGACAGCTTCCCGCCACGCCACTTGGTAGGAGCGACCGGTCAGGTAGGACGCAATCCAGGAGTGAGCCGCGCCGGAGATGCCCATTTCGGAGAGGGTGGAGAGGAGGATCTGATGGTTCACAGTATCAAAGGCAGCAGACAGGTCTAGAAGGACAAGAGCAGAGGAGAGAGAGTTAGCTTTAGCAGTGCGGAGAGTCTCTGTGACACAGAGAAGAGCAGTCTCAGTTGAATGACCAGTCCTGAAACCTGATTGGTTTGGATCAAGAAGGTCATTCTGAGAGAGATAGCAAGAGAGTTGGCTAAAGACGGCACGCTCAATAGTTTTGGAAAGAAAAGAAAGAAGGGATACTGGTCTGTAGTTGTTGACATCAGTGGGGTCGAGTGTTGGTTTTTTGAGAAGGGGAGTAACTCTCGCTCTCTTGAAGACGGAAGGGACATGGCCAGCGGTCAAGGATGAGTTGATCAGCGAGGTGAGGTAGGGGAGAAGGTCACCGGAGATGGTCTGGAGAAGGGAGGAGGGGATGGGGTCAAGCGGGCAGGTTGTTGGGCGGCCTGCAGTCACAAGTCGCAGGATCTTATCTGGAGAGAGAGGGGAGAAAGAAGTCAAAGCATAGGGTAGGGCAGTGTGAGCAGGACCAGCAGTGTCATTAGACTTAACAAACAAGGATCGGATGTCGTCAACCTTCTTTTCAAAGTGGTTGACGAAGTCATCCACAGAGAGAGGGGGGGGGGGGGGGGGGGGGGGGATTCAGGAGGGAGGAAAATGTGGCAAAGAGCTTCCTAGGGTTAGAGGCAGATGCTTGGAATTTAGAGTGGTAGAAGGTGGCCTTAGCAGCAGAAACAGATGAAGAAAATGTAGAGAGGAGGGAGTGAAAAGATGCCAGGTCGGCAGGGAATTTAGTTTTCTTCCATTTCCGCTCCGCTGCCCGGAGCTCTGTTCTGTGAGCTCGCAATGAGTCATCAAGCCACGGAGCTGGAGGGGAGGACCGAGCCGGCCGGGAGGATAGGGGACACAGAGAGTCAAAGGATGCAGAAAGGGAGGAGAGGAGGGTTGAGGAGGCAGAATCAGGAGATTGGAGGGAGAAGGATTGAGCAGAGGGAAGAGATGATAGGATGGAAGAGGAGAGAGTAGTGGGAGAGAGAGAGCGAAGGTTGCGGCGGCGCATTACCATCTGTGTAGGGGCAGAGTGAGTAGTGTGGGAGGAGAGTGAGAGAGAAAAAAAGAGCCTTTGGAAATCAGAATTGTTGTGAACCACAGCGGTTCAATGTTTAAAGGAGTAGACTCAACCCACTTTGTTCAGCTAGCCAACTATGACTCCATAGCCAACTAGCAGACTAGCATCCAATAACAATAACACACCGTTTAGCGCCAACACTTGGTCACAACAAACCACCAATATTGTGATAACACACTAAACAGATCATTCGTGTCTGTGTCAAGTTCCTTACATGACGCAGCAATGATTAGACGTTGGCTAGCTAGGACAAGTAAATTGTGGTTAGCTACTTCAGTACAGCCAAATGGTCATGTTGGGTAGCTAGCAATGGCCACTGTGTCGACTCTGTTTGAAGAACGGCTAGCTAGCTAGCTTCGTGCTACAGCTGGCACGGCCGAGGACACTGCCAAGACACAGTAACTACCCACAACAACCCACGAAGCCTAGCTATGACGCCGTAGCCAACCTGCAAGCTAGCATCCATTAACACACAACTTAGCATCAACACCTGGCCACAACAAACTGCCAAGAGTGTGTCAGCACACCAAACCGACAATTCAAGTCCGTGTCGAGTTCCCTTCACAACGCAGCAAAAAAAAAAAAAATTAAACGTTGGGTAGGACTACATTACCGTTGGAGCCAGCTCTCCAGCGTTGCTAATCGTTACCAATAGCTACCCGCTAGCTAGCTAGCCTCGTGCCTCGATACTAATCCACAATTACCTATGGAAAGCTACTACAACCACAATACTAACCTACAATAAATTCAATACCTAACTACAGCTAGCTACCTACCTACGATCTAATACATGGTTAAGCAAAAGTTAAACGTTGGGTAGGAGTACATTACCGTTGGAACCAGCTCTCCAGCGTTGCTAATCGTTACCAATAGCTACCCGCTAGCTAGCTAGCCTCATGCCTCGATACTAACCCACAAATTACCCACGGAAAGCTACAATAACAACAATACTAACCTACAATAAATACAATACCTAACTACAGCTAACTACCTACCTACGATCTAATACATGGTTAAGCTTTACTCAACACTACATGTAGCTTACCCCTACTTACCTCCAGCCAGAGAAAAACACGTCCTCTCCCGTCAGCACTCAAATGGCACTCCTATGTCGAACCAGCAGGCCGCTCCGAGTGCCTTTCCTCCGCCGCCGATGTTTTGGGTCAGCCGCTGGAATCAGTTCAATTGCCCTGGGAAGAGCAAACAAAGGAGTCATCCTGGTTCCGACGTTACGCAGCGTGTTTAGATTACCACGCCCGACGTTACGCAGCGTGTTTAGATTACCACGCCCGATGTTACGCAGCGTGTTTAGATTACCACGCCCGACGTTACGCGGCGTGTTTAGATTACCACGCCCGACGTTACGCGGCGTGTTTAGATTACCACGCCCGACGTTACGCAGCGTGTTTAGATTACCACGCCCGACATTACGCAGCGTGTTTAGATTACCACGCCCGACGACGTTACGCGGCGTGTTTAGATTACCACGCCCGACGACGTTACGCGGCGTGTTTAGATTACCACGCCCGACGACGTTACGCGGCGTGTTTAGATTACCACGCCCGACGTTACGCGGCGTGGTTTAGATTACCACGCCCGACGTTACGCGGCGTGTTTAGATTACCACGCCCGACGTTACGCGGCGTGTTTAGATTACCACGCCCGACGTTACGCGGCGTGTTTAGATTACCACGCCCGACGTTACGCGGCGTGTTTAGATTACCACGCCCGACGTTACGCAGCGTGTTTAGATTACCACGCCCGACGTTACGCGGCGTGTTTAGATTACCACGCCCGACGACGTTACGCAGCGTGTTTAGATTACCACGCCCGACGTTACGCGGCGTGTTTAGATTACCACGCCCGACGTTACGCGGCGTGTTTAGATTACCCGGACGTTACGCGGCGTGTTTAGATTACCACGCCCGACGTTACGCGCGTGTTTAGATTACCACGCCCGATGTTACGCAGCGTGTTTAGATTACCACGCCCGACGTTACGCAGCGTGTTTAGATGCACAAGCGCCCAACTGCATTGTTCTCTTTGATCATCCTCATGCTTGTGTTTTCTTCAGGTATGAACCAGTTCAACCAGATGGGGATGCAGTCTACGGGTCAGAGGTCGACCCCTCCTCTCCCCCTCACACCCATCAACCAGGTCAGTGCTCTTTTATGTGCACTTAATGGGCGCTGTTTTGGAAAGAAAGCGTTATACCCAAATACAAACGTTTTTGTGTTCAATAGATCTTATAGATGTATTTTGATGCAAGAGGAACCGTATCATGTCATAGCACTAACGTATACATTGATGCAACACACGGAGTAGTCCCTAGTATCAAAAGTGTCTGAAAGGACTAATATGAGCGCTGTTCTAAACCAATGTCTGTTGTGTCCCCTGTAGATGGGCATGGGGAACCCCAGGATGGGCCAGCCCAACGTGGGCCAGCTCCAGAACCAGTACCTACCCCAGGGACAGTTCCCAGGCTCCGGCCCAGGACCAGGTCTCGGCACGGGGCAGCCCGGCATGGTACAGCCTGCTATGAACCAGCAAGGCAACCAGGGAGGCATGGCACAGATGAGAGAGGTGGGCAAAAGTGGAAGTATATGGTCTGTCGCTGCCCTCAAAGTCCTATGTAGATGCATGAAACGGAAGGACAGATTGGGTACCCTTTATGAGGGATTCTATGATGTTGGTTTTAATTGTGAATCTCATCACTAAACACAGTCACTAATGCATTTCCACACATCTGTACATGCACAATGAATCCCTCCTTCCTACCCTAGTGTTTCCTCATGTAGGTTCACTGGAGGGATGCCCCCGTCATACATAATGTATGTTAATGTCTGAATAATGTATGAACTATTAATGCTAAATGCCTTATCTCTCCCTCCCAATCTCTCTCTCCTTACAGACTCAGATACCCATTCCTTCCCCTCTCCCCGTCAACAGCCCTCTAGCCGGGCCCGGCTCAGTCGGAGGGGGTAGCGGTGTCCCCTCGGTAGGGCCCATGGGTCCTCAGAGTGTGGGTGGAGGCCCCTTGTCCAACCTGCCCCTGTCCAACAACCCCCAGCAGCCCAACTCCATCCCCCACCTCTCGGCCATGCGCCAGAGCTCTCCCTCCCCCGCCCGTAGCCTCACCCCCACACCCCACCAAACGCCACCCAGGCTAGTTGGCTCACAGACCCCCCAGCCCCACACCCCCAACCCGTCCAAGCTGGCCCCCCCAGGCCCTCAGCAGCAGCTAGGGCCCGGCAGCCAGGGGCCAGGCTCCAACAAGCCCATGCAGCAGGGGGTGGGAGCGGGGTCCACCACCCCATCTCACCCTGGTCATCCCTCAACAACCCCCAACCCCCATGGAGGCCAGCTCCCTCGCACGCCGCGCACTCCGGTGAGATTTATTAGATAATTTAGAAACGTACAGCTATATCTCCAACACATGGTATGAATAGTACATTGAGTCAGTACAAGTTTTACAAAAGTGATCACAACGTTGACATACAGCTGCAAAATGGAGCAGTTAACAGTCAATGTAATAATCAATTGTTTAGGAATTTCCTCTGACCTCTCACTCACCTGACTGCACTCAATTGCCTGTCAATTTCCAAACCTTCACTGTAACTCCCATGGGGGTTGTTGCATTCTCTTGTAGTATCTATCCTTTTCTAACAGTGTTCTGTCTCTCTGTCTCTCTCTGTGTCTGTCTCTCTCCCCCCAGATGTCCCAGAAGGGTGGCTTCCAGTCCCAGGACGGTCAGGCTCTGACCCCAGCGTCGGTCAGCAGTGTGGACACGGCCTCCCAGCAGGCCTCCCAGTCAGACACCTCTGCTTCCGTGGACCCCAAGACGGAGGTCAAGCAGCAGCAGGATGAGGACGACGATGGGGAGGAAGGCTGCTCCAAGGGGGGGAAGTTATCCAACATCAAGCTGGAGAACAAACCCATCAAAATGGAGGGGGTGAAGAAAGAGGAATGTGGAGGCGACGGGGGCAAAGGTGTTCCCATGGAAACGTCATCATTGGCAGGGGTTAAAAGTGAAGACAGGGTGAAGACTGAAGACCGGAAGCCGGAGGTGAAGAAGGAGCCGAAAGAGGAAGAGAAGGGATCAGAGTCCCCTGGTACACCGTCTGGTGCCCAGAACAAGAAGAAGAGTAAGGACTGCTTTATTCTGTTAATGATTATGTGATCGCATTTGTACTGTGTACAAGTTATGTTTCTATACTCTCTGTGGTTATGTTCCTGCTTCTGCAAATGTATGCAGTTATAATCCGTGTCTGAATCCAACTCGAACCCTAACCTATCTCTCTACCCCTCTCCCTCCTCCTCCTCTCCTTCCACCTCTCTCAGTCTTTAAGCCAGAGGAGCTGCGCCAGGCCCTCATACCCACCCTGGAATCTCTGTACAGACAGGACCCAGAGTCTCTGCCCTTCAGACAGCCTGTGGACCCTCATCTACTGGGCATACCTGTACGTACTGCGTATTCACACTGTTTCAGTTTAATGTTCTATCACAAAAATGTGCTTTTTACATGTGAAGCTAGCCAAATAAATGTCCCACCTGTGGAATAATAAAGGAACCTTAACTTGACCCTATCTCTCTTTCTCCCTCCCCAGGACTACTTTGACATAGTGAAGACCCCCATGGACCTGTCCACTATAAAGCGGAAGCTGGATACGGGTCAGTACCAGGAACCCTGGCAGTACGTGGATGACATCTGGGTCATGTTGAACAACGCCTGGCTTTACAACCGCAAGACGTCCCGCGTCTACAAGTACTGCTCCAAGCTGGCCGAGGTGTTCGAGGCCGAGATAGATCCCGTCATGAAGGGCCTGGGTTACTGCTGCGGCAAGAAGGTGAAATGGGAGTGTGATGCGGGGTTGTGTGGTTGGTTATTAGGGTGTGTGGGTGTCTGTCTGGTGTGTGTGACGTGTAGTGTCAGGCTAGATGTAGTTATTGCATCTCTATTGCATTGCTAGTTTCACATCCAGTTCTGTGCATGGAGACGAGGCTTGGTATAACACCACCATATTAAGTTTCAACACTTTTAATATTGACCATAACCTCGCAGCTATTTCTGACTTTGCTCATGAATGGGCTAAGCTAAGTGGTCAACAGGGATGACTAGAGCGTCTCCTTTTATGAAAACGAGGCAAAGCGGTCGGGCTGAGCCCTTCAGATGGCCCATAAGGCCGGACAGCTGTTGTCATTTACTGTGACGGTGAGCCTGAAGGGCCATGTGAGCCAGGGCTGGCACATTCCTCTGGCCTAACCAAATGACCTCCATGATAACGCCAAAATATTTTCTGTTGCTTTGGGCAGAAGCTCTAGATGTAGCAATAGTCTGTCCTCTTGGGTCTAATGGTGCTCATGATCATGGATTGGGCAGTTTCCCTGGTCGCATGGTCTTGTAAAACTCCTGGCAATACTTAACATAAAGATTTTAATTAGCCAACTTTTTTTCATTCTCCTTCCACCAGTCTTTGTTTGTTAGTACTTCTATTTTATACTTTTAAAAAAATGTGTAGCACTTTGTTGAAAAGCGCTATACAAATATTATTATATTACTGCTAGTGTTGAAGGACCAAACTGTTTTGAAAGTTAATTAGGCGATTTTAAAGTAGTATTCCTTTATCATCTAACTTTCTCCTTCCTTCTCCTCCGTCAGTTGGAGTTCTCTCCCCAGACGTTGTGCTGCTATGGAAAGCAGCTGTGTACTATACCCCGGGACGCTGCCTACTTCAGCTACCAGAACAGGTATGGAGAGAGCTGAGGGACACACACGGTGATCAATATCAAAATGATTGTATGTTGAATTTTGTGTTTCTATGGGAATAAATGGTTTGCCACTTCATTTTCATATCTGTTCAGTGTCTGTATTGTCCCATATTTCCTCCACCTCCAGTTGATTCTGTCGCTGCTGTGCTGGTGTTGCTCATCTTGTCCAAATGCTAATCTGCGCTTTGCCTCGGCTTTCTGCTCTGTTGTCTTGTCCTCTGTCCTCCCCCTCTCCTCACCATCCAACCCTTTCGGTCCTCTCCCTCTGTTGTCAATGCCTGTGACATCTGCATTGGCTTGCTTTTGTCTGGTCCAATCATGCGCCTCCAAACCCTACCCCTCCCTCCCCCTTCAATCCTGAATCATGATTGGCTGTTCTGACGACGACCCCTGCCCTGCCCGCTCTGCGCTCCTCCTGCGTGCTTGCTCCCGCCCTGTCCTGCCATGCCTTGCCCTGATTGGTGGCTGCCTCCCTGTGCCTTCTCTGTGATTGGCTGTGCTGTTGGGGAACGGTGTAGTTCACCAAAATTTGGGCTTCTTGCTGACAGGTACCACTTCTGTGAGAAGTGCTTCAACGAAATCCAGGGGGACAACGTGTCCCTAGGAGACGACCCCTCCCAGCCTCCGACGTGAGTATAACGTTACCCTCTAGCCTTCCCTCAACTTGTCTTTAGTTTTAACTTACATTTTATATTTAGGCTTCTATTATTTGACTCCTCATATGCCAAGCTTCTCCCTCATATCTGCTTAAAGTACCTCCATTTGCTGTTATTGGTAATATTTTGTGAATGTCTCCTTTCCATTTCTATGTTTTCTGTGGTATTCTGTCTCCTGCAGTAGTTGATTGTTTTTATTGTACATCTGTACTGCCGCTGTTATTGTGTCTCACCTCTCACACTGTGGTTTTCCTCAATAGGCCTACATCTGTTCTGTTCTGCAGCATCTCTTTAGTAAATCAAGATTGGCAACATTGCATATTTAAAATATCGGGCCAGGATATCTGGCGGATTTCATGAGTCTTAAACTTTTAATATATGAAATGTTGGACAAGGGCCCAGCCAGAGAATCCAATGATCCCACCTTGTGGTGATTTAGAGTTTGATGCTGTATTTATTTAATGGTTGGTAAAACAAAAATGTGAAATGTCGGGGGGGGGGGGCGAAACCCTGTAACTGTTAGACCGGTGGTTTTCATCCGGTGTGCCTTGAGGAGCGCTCCGGTGTGTCGTGAAACTTTTCCTAATCTTGATTTTAATTTTATTATACACTCACTTATAAACGTGACCTGTGGAATGCACATTGAATTTTGAATTGGGAATTGAACCAGTGCCGCTCAGATAAATACATGGTTACATCTGTATCGTCGTTTCAAGTCCGGTGTTCTCAGGCTGTTGTTACAAAATGGATGATATTGCAGTATGGATCAGATGAGATGGAGGTCATTACCACTAAATAAATGTAATGGACTTTTTTTAGGTGTGCTGCAGATAATCTTTTTTTTTTTTTTTTATCCCATCAAGGTGTGCCATGGTTCAAAGATGTTTGGGAACCACCTAGACTGTGGTTCATCCATCGTACCCTTTCCATTTGTATTTTTGTTAATGAGGCTTTTGACTGGGTGTGTCATGGGGTGGCCTGGTTGTTGACTGGGGGGGGGGGGCGGCCTGGTTGTTGACTGGGGGGGCGGCCTGGTCATTGACTGGGGGCGTGGTGGGGAGGCGGGGGTGGTGGCCTGGGTGCGGTTGTTGACTGGGGGGGGGGGTGGCCTGGTTGCGGTTGTTGACTGGGGGGTGGCATTTCTTCTTTCTCATTTCAGTTCCATCGGTAAAGATCAGTTTGAGAAGAAGAAGAATGACACACTGGACCCTGAATTGTAAGTCCACCCTTAGAAGTATATATCTTGTTGAATAATTGCATTCATATTTACATTTTAGTAATTTAGCAGACGCTCTTATTTTTTTATTTTAGTCATTTAGCAGACGCTCTTATCCAGAGTGACTTACAGGAGCAATTAGGGTTAAGTGCCTTGCTCAAGGGCACATCGACAGATTTTTCACCTAGTCGGCTCTGGGATTAGAACCAGCGACCTTTCGGTTACTGGCACTACGCTCTTAACCACTAAGCTACCTGCCGCTTATCCAGAGCGACTTACAGTTAGTGCATACATTTTCATACTGGCCCCCTGTGGGAAACGAACCCACAACCCTGGCGTTGCAAGCACCATGCTCTACCAACTGAGCTACAGGGGACTATTGAGCGCAATGTAGTTGTGCAGTTGTAAGCAGTCGCAGTGATTCGATTTCGCTCCTCTCTGCAGGCTTGTGGAATGTCTGGACTGTGGACGTAAGATGCACCAGATCTGTGTCCTGCACAACGACACCATCTGGCCGTTAGGGTAAGTCTGTCTGCCTGCCCTGTAACCAGAAAAGATTAGGCAGTTTGAGTCTTAGTAGACTCTGGTTTCTCTAATGAACTTTCTCCCACCAGTTTTAATTGTGATGGCTGCTTAAAGAAGTTGAATAAGACTCGTAGAGAGAACAAGTATGCCGCCAAAAGTAAGTACCAATGTCTTCTTCTTTCTTTTTTTTATCACTAAATATTATTTACCGGTCTCCATTTTGATGTAGTTCTTCCCTCTTTACCTAGCTTACTTGTAACTAAACTAAGCTCATCTCACTCCCTCTCTCCAGGGTTGCCCCACACTAAACTGGGCTGTTATTTGGAGACGAGGGTGAATGACTTCCTGAAGCGTCAGAGCCACCCTGAGTCGGGTGACGTCACCATCCGAGTCGTCCACGTCTCTGACAAGGTGGTGGAGGTCAAACCAGGCATGAAGTCCAGGTAAGGGACAGGCACTGCGGGGGGGGGGGGGGGGTAGTAAGCATGTTACCCTGAAGAAATAGATCAGGAGCAAGGGATACAGGTAGTGGTGGAACGAGTGGGGTTAATGTAGTAATTTGCTGAATCCCATAGCAACCCCTAGGCACTGAGAGGATTGGATTACTTCTTTCTCTCAGAATTTGAGTTTTTTTTCTTTTCAGAATTGTTAGATGGAGAAGCTGTAACTCTCTGAATGGTGAAGATATAAAGATATTGGTATGCCGGGTTGGGGAGTAACTGATTACATGTAATCTGATTACAAAACTAATCAGTTACATTACCAGCGACAGTATTGTAATGAGATACTTTTGAAAAACTAGATTACTTCTTGGATTACTTTTACATTTTAAGTTTGTTCCACATGACCGAGTCTGATCACAAGTCAGACCAATATGATGATTCACAAATGATGGATCCTTTTAGTCTTCTTCTTCTAATGCCTCTTAAGGGGACAGTAGTCTAAAACTAACTGAAAGTAATCAGATAACGTTACTGATGACCAGTAACTAGTAACTAACGGATTACATTTAGAAAGTAACGTACCTAACCCTGTTGGTATGCATCCATTGTAGCATCAATCTCACTCTTGTCGTGTCTCCCAGGTTTGTGGACACTGGGGAGATGTGTGAGTCGTTCCCATACAGAACGAAAGCCCTGTTTGCCTTTGAAGACATCGATGGAGCTGACGTCTGCTTCTTCGGCATGCATGTACAGGAGTATGGCTCCGACTGCCCTCCTCCCAATCAGAGGTAATGGTTCTTTTTAAGGGTCAATGTTATCTCGACTCAGTTGGGAGCAGTTTTATGTACATGGATCAAAGGACTGGACCTCATCCTTGCTCTCTCTGTCTCCCTCTCTGCCTACTTGTCTACCCCAGACGAGTGTACATCTCGTACCTGGACAGTGTTCACTTCTTCCAGCCTCGTTCTCTGAGGACGGGCGTCTACCATGAGATTCTCATTGGCTACCTGGAGTATGTCAAGAAGCTGGGGTACACGACGGGTCACATCTGGGCATGCCCACCTAGTGAAGGGGATGACTACATCTTCCACTGTCACCCTATGGACCAGAAGATCCCCAAGCCTAAGAGGCTACAGGAGTGGTATAGGAAGATGCTGGACAAGGCTGTGGTGGAGCGCATCGTGCACGACTTCAAGGTAAGAGGCTTGAGGGGCCCTTGCGGGGACAAAGTTCAAATTTTAATTAAATTGTCTTGCTCTCATCCGCAAGTGGAAGGGTTGAGTACACAAGGACAGAGTCATGGATTGGCTTCTGAGATGGAGAACCATTTTATCACTGTTCATGTTGTTGTGACCACTTGAAGTGGTGTTACTCATTTGTTACATAAAGCAGAAGGAGTGGATCTGTGTTTAATCTCTTTCCCTCCCTCTCGCAGGACATCTTCAAGCAGGCCACGGAGGACCGTCTGACCAGTGCCAAGGAGCTGCCGTACTTTGAGGGGGACTTCTGGCCCAACGTGCTAGAGGAGAGCATCAAGGAGCTGGAGCAGGAGGAGGAGGAGAGGAAGAGAGAGGAAAACAGCACTTCCAACGAGAGCATAGATGTAAGTGAGATGGGTAGTTACTACAAGGTACATTGCAGTGTGTTCTTATGGATCTTTGTTGTGATGTCTTTCAATGTGATAATTTTATTCAATTGTTTTATTTAAATACATGCTTGTATGAACTGCATTTCTACATTCGAACTAAAAATAGTTAATAATTCACCTTCACCACACATCCAGGCCACGAAGGGCGACAGCAAAAACGCCAAAAAGAAGAACAACAAGAAGACTTCTAAGAATAAGAGCAGCAGTATGAGCCGAGCCAATAAGAAGAAGCCAGGCTTGCCCAACGTGTCCAATGACCTCTCTCAGAAACTCTACGCCAGCATGGAGAAGCATAAAGAGGTAGGAGGGAGAGACCGTTGAATGTTTTTAATGTATTTCTGAACATAAGTTACAAACATTAGGTAGTAAATCAGGCTCCCTTGGAGTAAATTGGTGAGAAACAGATTTTAGGACCGTCTGAACGAGTCAAATTGTATTTGTCACCATGAAATGCTTACTTACAAGCCCTTAACCAACAATGCAGATCAAGAAATGGAGTTAAGAAAATATTGATTAAATAAACTTAATTAAAAAGTAACACAATTAAATAACGAGGCTATATACAGGGGGTACCAGTACCGAGTCGATGTGCGGGGGTACAGGTTAGTCAAGGTAATTTGTACATGTAGGTAGGGGTAAAGTACTTTCCACTAAGACAGTATCTTTTCACTCTTCTCTGTTAACCCTCCCTTCTCTCCTCGCCAGGTATTCTTTGTGATCCGTCTGATAGCGGCGCCCATGTCCAACACGCTGGGTCCCATCACGGACCCCGACGGCCTGATGGCCTGCGACCTGATGGACGGGCGCGACGCCTTCCTCACCCTGGCCCGGGACAAACACCTGGAGTTCAGCTCGCTGCGCAGGTCCAAGTGGAGCTCCATGTGCATGCTGGTGGAGCTGCACAACCAGAGCCAGGACCGCTTCGTCTACACCTGCAACGAGTGCAAGGGCCATGTGGAGACACGCTACCACTGCACTGTCTGCGAGGTGAGGGTTAGGGAGGGGAAGGGTAAAGCTGGGACGATAAACTGAAAATTACAGACATTGCCTTCCTCTTACCAAAGCAATTTTGCTTATGTAAAAATTTTTTGTTCTAAAACAATTTTGGGGTCATTATTCTGATCCCTGCAATGAAAGTATATGTCCTGTCCCTGTTTCACTGCCTGTCCCCATGTGAACACGAATTGTGTCCATTGTGCAACATTTCCAAATTGCAATTGTGGGGAAAAACACTGTTTTTTTAAAGCGACTACCATTGTCAAAGAGAGGAGAGTGTAAGCTTTCTGAGTATAACATGTATTTCTCATCTCTGAATATTGAGCAAATGGCACCAGCACTTTACAAACGATTGTGAAGCCTAATATGGTTGAGATTATGCGCCCGCGGAGAGTAGCACGCCATTCACATTGAATACATCAAGTAGCCTAGGCCTACAGACTGAAGGTTTTTGTAGGACATTAAAGCTAGAATCCTTAGTTGCTACATACATTTTTGGACTTATAAATTGATGAGTAAAGAAAGGATTGTGTAACCAACACCTACATGCTTTCTCCCCCCCTCTGTCCCAGGACTATGACCTGTGCATCACCTGCTACAACACGAAGGGCCACATCCACAAGATGGAGAAGCTGGGTCTGGGCCTGGATGACGAGAGCAACAACCCGGCCTCCTCGTCCATCGCCAACCCCGGGGACTCGCGGCGCCTCAGCATCCAGCGCTGCATCCAGTCTCTCGTCCACGCCTGCCAGTGTCGCAATGCCAACTGCAGCCTGCCGTCCTGTCAGAAGATGAAGCGCGTGGTGCAGCACACGAAAGGGTGCAAGCGAAAGACCAACGGCGGCTGCCCCATCTGCAAGCAGCTCATCGCCTTGTGCTGCTACCACGCCAAGCACTGCCAGGAGAACAAGTGTCCCGTGCCGTTCTGTCTGAACATCAAGCACAAGCTGAGGCAGCAGCAGCTCCAGCACCGTCTCCAGCAGGCCCAGATGCTGCGGAGGAGGATGGCCAGCATGCAGAGGGTGGGTCAGCCACCTCCAGGACCGGGGGGAAACGGTGGACTACCATCCCCTGGAAACAACAGCACCACAGGGCCCAGTACACCCTTGTCTGTGGGCACGCAGCCCCCCACCCCTCAGACCCCCACCCAGGGGAACATGCCCCAGCAGGGGATGGGTCAGGGCCCCCCAGGGCAGCAGCAGCAGCAGAGCAGCATGACCCAGCAGCACCACATGCACCACCAGTTCCAGCAGCAGATGCAGCAGCAGATGCAGCAGCAGGGGGGAGGGGGATTGATGAATTCTCCTCAGCAGCAACAGATGGTCCAACAACAGCTCCAACAGCAGCAGCAGGGCCAGTCTCCAAATGTTCAGCAGATGCAGCACCCAGGAGGTCTTCCCCCTTACACCCCCAGACCTCCAGGCGCCTCGCCCCTCCACCAGTCCCTGGGTAAACCCGGTCTGGGCCCAGCCACCCCGCCACAGCAGCAGGCCAACCCCGGCCAGGGCTCCATGCCCCAGGGACAACCGCAGCAGGGGCCTCCTCCGGCAGCGGTGGAGATAGCGTTGAAGATCCAGCGTGTGGCAGAGACCCAGCGTCAGATGGCACAGGCCCAGGCCCAGATCCTCCAGAGGCAGCAGGCGGCCCAGAGTGGAGGCATGATGCCCCCTCACCACCAGAACCCCCAGGCCCAGATGCAGGGCATGGCCCACCCAGGAGCAGGCATGGTAGGACACCAGGGGATGGCTCCCCAGGGCCAGGGTGTGGCAGGAAGAACCCTGATGGAGCAGCAGGGGATGGTGGTAGGGCCAGGAGGCATGCAACAGCAGTCCCAGCTCCCCCCTCAGGTTCAGCTCCAGCAGCAGGCCCAACTCCAGAACCCCAACCAACAGCAGTGGGGCGGCCCGGGTGGGATGACCCCCCAGCAGAGGCAAGGCATGATGGGACAGATGGGTCACCTGACACCGCAACAACAACAGCAGCTTGCCCAGCAGCAGCAACAGCAGCAGCAACAGCAAGGTCAGACCCAGCAACAACAACAACAGCAGGCAGGGCAAGGGGGGTTAATGGGGCTGATGGGAGGTCCAGGGGGCGTGGCCGGGGCGGCAGCGGCGATGGTGGGGACAGGGAACCTCCCCCAGGCAGCTCTACAGGACCTCCTGCGTACCCTCCGCTCCCCCAGCTCCCCTGGCCAGCAGCAACAGGTCCTCAACATCCTCCGCTCCAACCCCCTCCTCATGGCTGCCTTCATCAAGCAGCGAGCCGCCCGATACCAGGGAGGTCCAGGGGTGCCTGAGGCACCAGGAGGGGGGCCTGGAGGCGTGCGGTTCAAGGGGGCCCGTGGTGGGGTAGGAGTGGGCCCTGGAGGGCCTGGTGGTAACCAGGTTGTCATGGATGGTCAGCAGGTCAACGTAAACCCCGGTGTGGCCCAGGCAGGTATGAACATGGGCCAGGGAGTAGGAGGAGGAGGAAACATACCCACTATGGCTCAGCTACAGCAGTTACAGCAGCAGCAACAGCAACAGCGCCCCCTCCTGCCTGGGAGTTTGCAGCAACAGCAGCAAATGGCAGCACTACAACAGCAACAAGGCGGTATGCCAGGCCAAGGCACCCCAATGTCCAACATGACTCCCCAGTTCAGAGAGATTCTGATGAGAAGGCACCTGCAACAGCAGCAGCAAGCAGCAACACAACAGCAACACAGCAGCAGCAACAACAGCAACAGCAGCAGCAACAACAGCAGCAGCAGCAGCAACAGATGAGTAACAATGGTCAGTTCCAGCAGCCCCAGCCCCCTCAACAGCAACAGCAGCAGCAGGGTCAGGTCCAGCAGGGCTTCATGCAGCAGGGCCAGCCTGGTCAACCAGGCCTGACCCAGTCTGGGGGAGGAGGGCCGCAGCAGGGGGGGCCCCAGGGGCCCCAGCCGGGTCAAGGGCAGGGCCAGCAAGGGCAGGGCTACCCTGGAACCATGTCCCAGCAGGTAGCCACAGCCCTGCAACAGAGACTGCAGCACCAGATGCAGATGCAGCAGCAGATGCAGCAACAACAGGATGGTGGGGGGCCTGGGCAGCTCCAACAGGGTCCCCAGCAAGGCCAAGGTGGTCCCCCCCAGCCCCTCCCATACCATGCTCCAGCAGGCCCTCCACCAGAGACTCCTCCAGCAGCAGCACCTAGGAGGGGGCTCGCCCGCCCAGCACGGCAGTCCTATGAGCCCCCAGCAGCAGATGGCCCAGTCCCCCCACCTCCAGGGTCAGGCTCTGGGCGGTCAGTCACTCAGCAACCAGGTGCGTTCTCCTCAGCCTTCCCCTCGGCCACAGTCCCAGCCGCCTCACTCCAGCCCCTCGCCACGCATGCAGCCCCAGCCTTCCCCTCACCACATCTCCCCCCAGACCCAGACAGGCTCCCCGCACCCGGGTCATCTCTCCCAGCACCACCCTAGCATGGTGGCCCCCCAAAACCCACAGCAACAATTGTCACAGCAACAACAACAACAACAGACTAACTCTGGGGACCCGGGTACGTTTGGTTCGGACCCCAGTGCTATGATGTCCCAGATAAGTGGGATAGGGGGGCTTTCATGGCCCGGGGCAGTCGGACATGTTGGGTAATAACAACCAGGACCTGGGGACGAACATTAACCACAACAATGTAGACATTATGTAACCTACTACTACGTCTGTCTCAGTGCTCTGAAGAACTGCCCTCGTGGGTCTGGCTGGGATGGAATGGAAGGGGATGGCAGTTTTAGAAGTTATTTTTATTTAATATTTTTCTGATGTATAAATGAAAAGATCTTAACTTCCTATGGGAGATGCACCATTTAAATCTACAAGTCAATAAATGAATAAATTAAACGAATGGTAAGTTATTGCTGTTAATATATATCTATATTTTTGCCAATTGTGTACAAAATGTGTAAGGGGTTTTCTGGACGGGAGAGTTCTTCCTTAGTATATGACACAAGTAATATTTTTGGGGACTGAGAATTTTTTTGCCTTTTTTTACAAGTATTTTTAAGATTTTAAATGTGGTGGGAAATTAGTGAGTTAATACAATGGACCTTTTTTTATCGTTCCATTTTCCTTCATAAAACCAGTCATGATTGTATCTGTTTTGCAGAGAAGTGTTTTGAGTTTTTTTAATATTATAATTATCAATATTATTTTCGCTGTATCTGCAAACAAACATCACAACATATCTTCCTTTTTTGGGTGGGTGGGTGAGCTTTTTTTGGTGGGTAAATGTACCTTGCGCCTGCTACATTTCACATAGAATATATTTTTGTTAATGACTGTCCAAAAACCGAGAGGATTGAGAAAGGTGAGTTTATTCTGACTTTTTTTATGGTTTGTTAGGGATCCAAGTTAAACTTAAACAGTGTTGCTGGGGGGTGGCTGGCTGATCTCCCTCTTGGACTGACTGAGCGTTTCAGGTCGGAAGCTTCCCGTTTGATGCCCAGATCTTCTTCTACTCAAGCCACCTCTCCCCCGTGTCTCCCCCCCCCCTTTTTTATTTTTCTCCCATGAATGTGCACTCCCCTTTTACCCCCACACTTACTACAGAATGATGGATGAACTTACTGCAGATGTTGCCAGCTGATTCGGATAGATTGATGGCTGGATATCTGTATGTGGTGTGTGTATATACCCTCATGAACTGAAACACAGGGGATATGGCGGTGGGGAATGTATAGAGGGGTTTGCAAGGTATCGTCATTCTATTATTATTTTTTTTTTTACTTTTGTCAACTATGCCGCCCTTCCCCGCCTCTCTTCCTAGTCACATCCCCCTTGTCGTCTTTTGCCCTGAACCGTTGGGTTTAATCTAATATTACTGTACAAAGAACTGGACTTTAATGAAATACTGCTTTTGTAATAAAATGAACAGCATAAATTTGAGCTGTACAGACTTTAACCTATGAGTAGAGACACTTTCTACTGCAGATGTTCTCCTTTGATTTGGTTTCCTAGCAACCGGGGCTCCTCCCAAACTGAAAGTATTGAGATTTCTGTAAGGTACAGTATGGGGTGTAGGTCATTTGAGCACCAATGCGCCTTTGTATTATTGACAAACTGGGGTTATTGTAACAAATCACATCTTGATTGCTGTGAGCACCAACACACTCACAAAACCGGGGAGAAGGCTTATTAGTGTGGTCAGAAAATGAATTGGTCATTAAAGATTTCACAAGTTCACTTATTTTTCTCTAAAGGTTGGGATTTGAGGGGAGGGAGAAACAAAACAAAGTGGCAATATATCTTGAGACTTATTTTATAAAAAAAAAAAAAGTCTTTTATATATAGCTATATTATTTAATATTTTTTTTTATAAAACTTGAAGCTACAGGAATTAATAGATTAAACTTTTTTGTATTGAAGATGTAATGGTGATGCAGAATGACTGCCGTCATTGATAGCCCTCTTTGGGGTTGATGAGTATCATGCCATTTTGAAGAGATGTACATGCATATAAGTGTATACATACTGAATCACTGTAGAAACCATGGCAACTGAACAACTTTTGTTTTGTTTGTGTTTCTTCCTAAAGAGACTGGAAATAAGACTATTTAATATTTGTTTAGTGTTCAAATGGACTCTTTGACCACTTTTCTCTTTACATATTTTGGTGCTTGTGCTGAAAGGAAGCAACAAAAAAAAACTTGCTCCATTTTCATTAGTTTCAAATTTTTTAAGTTATTTTGGTGGTCTGATTTTTATTTTTTTTTGCAAATAATTTAATTGTACAATAAAGTATGTTTGTACCATTGGAAAAATACCTGTATGTCGTAATGGCTTTTATTACACTAGCTACAGTTCCATCACATGATTCAGCCAATCATACATGGGTGGGACGGACAACACATTTACTTCATTATCTCGCAACCATGACAGCCAATAAAATAAGAAATCAATCACAAATCAACAATTAAAGATGGTAAACAGCCACATTTTTTATTTTTTATACAATATAAATAATCTCAGACGTTGACAGTTTATAGACAATGTTTTTTGTGGATTTATTACATCACTTTTCCGATAAGACAAGCCATAATAAAGTGCAACATTTCTTTGCTCAGCAGTGAATATTTAAGCAACCAACCACATTTGGCAATTACAAACGAGAGTCTTGTCATGGCTACAGCATTAGCGCATAGTTTAATCAGAAGAAAAATTGGTAACACTTTACTTGACACCCAGTGTCATAACACGGTCATAACCCTGTCATAACACTCATGACCCATATTCACACCTGTTGTGACACGTGTTATTTTATGGCTGGTTATGACCTACATAAGTGTCAAAACCCACATTTATTGTAATTTTTTCCGCTGCCAACAACTTTCCTTTCGCTTGAAATCCTTTGTTGTAATGATTTCTTTAGTCATGTTTTTTTCATATTTTAAATAACTTGTAGAAAATACACTCTGACAATGTCATGAAGCATTGTGACCACCCTGTGTTACTTTACTTGGACCAAGAAGCATTATGACCATCCTGTCACTTTACTTGGACTAAAAACAATTATTTTACACTGTCAAGAAGCATTATGACCATCATAATCATATAAGCCAGATAGGCCTATCACGTACAGGCCCTTATATCTGTCATCAGTCACAAAGAGGGTGTCTTGTCCTGCTCCTGAAATCTGCTCCTACATTCATCCCAGTCATCAGCAACAGAGCATTGGGGTAGGTGCATGTCTGACATCAATGTGTGCGCAATTACAATGATAATTTAATATGGTCAATTAAAGGCACACTTATCCTCTGCAGGAGAGTTAACTCTGGGTCTTCCTTTCCTGTGGTGGTCCTCATGAGAGCTAGTTTCATCATAGCGCTTGATGGTTTTTGCGACTGCACTTGAAGAAACTTTCAAAGTTCTTGACTGACCTTCATGTCTTAAAAGAATGATGGACTGTTGTTTCTCTTTGCTTATTTGAGATGTTCTTGCCATAATATGGACTTGGTCTTTTGCCAAATAGGGCTATCTTCTGTATACCACCCCTACCTTGTCACAACACAACTGATTGGCTCAAACGCATTAAGGAAAGAAATTCCACAAATTAACTTTTAAGAAGGCACACCTGTTAATTGAAATGCATTCCAGGTGACTACCTCATGAAGCTGGTTGAGAGAATGCCAAGCGTGTGCAAAGCTGTCATCAAGGCAAAGGGTGGCTACTTTGAAGAATCTCAAATATAAAATATATTTTGATTTGGTTAACACTTTTTTGGTTACTACATGATTCCATATGTGTTATTTCATAGTTTTGATGTCTTCACTATTATTCTACAATGTAGAAAATAGTACAAATAAAGAAAAACCCTTGAATGAGTAGGTGTTTCCAAACATTTGACTGGTACTGTATATATAACAAACACACTGTTGACAGGTAGGCTATGGTGTAATGGAATGTTTTGCCTTGTGTGGTTTTCACACTTATGTAGGCGTCATAACAGCCATAAAATAACGCAATATATGTCACAACATGTCGAAATATGTCATGACAGTGTTATGACCATATAACAGGTTATGACAAGTTATGTCAGCTGTTATGACATGGTTATGAACGTGTCATAATGTGTTATGACGCTGGGGGTCAAGTAAAGTGTTACCAAAAAAAGATGTTCTTCAGTATTTACTAATCCACAAGGTTTCTCCTTCAAATAATAAATACATTGAATTACATTCAGTCAGATCGATATAGAAAAATAAGGACTAGAAATACACAATACCCTTCAGTCTGTTTCTCCTAACCCTGGAGTTAAGGTGGAAGAAGCATTCCTCTTACTTCACGCTCAAAGGATAAGCTGAATAAACATCCAAAAAGAGGGGGTAGTTAGTGTTGCATTGTTGTGCATGTGCATACGCACGTTTACAAGCCCCAAAAGATCTCCAGAAAGAGTAACTTCAGGCAGTCCCATAATCCCTTGCTGCATTGTGATCGCAGAGGGAGATCATTTTACTGAGTCACACTCACAAGACACCATCAGCCTCGGCTTGGAGTGGGATAAACAGCCACTGACCAATGGGAGATGACCAGGAAGATTCCACAAAGATGACATAAACATCATGATGTAAATACAGTGCAATTCAGAACAGACTGTTTCCAAAACAAAAAAATGGGGTTCCACTTTTAAGGTTAGTTTACACTGCATGTGTTGCACAGGGCTTTAGTGGGAACCAAAATGTATTGATTATCACTATGTACCCATAGGGGGGGAGAAGAGAAAGTCATGCAGGCTGATGGAGTCATTTTGTAGAGGATTTCTAAATCATTACAAGACTCTAAGCCACATCTAATAATAACAGTCCAGATGCAGTGCACAAAACCTGTTTTTGTATAGAAGGCTATGATATACAGTATACTGTGTACAGCCAGCTCGATGTAGAAGGAGTGTATGCCCATCTCAATGTAGTAAGTGTATACTGTACACTACAGTATGCCTATTGAACGGAAGAGGAAGTTAGTGTGGACAGAAGTCACTCACAAGGCCAGAAAGGGAAGAAGGGTAAAAGGATGAGGAGAAAATCTCTCTCTCTCTCTCTCTCTCTCTCTAGAACTCTCTAGAACTCTCTCTCTCTCTCTAGAACTCTCTCTCTCTCTAGAACTCTCTCTCTCTAGAACTCTCTCTAGAACTCTAAGCCCCAGCCTCTGAAAAAGCCTTTGGCTGCCAGGGCCTCTCTGAAAGTCACTGTGAGAGAGTTTATGGTGACGTCAGTCACGGTCACCTCCCCTGGGCCAATCACTGTGTTCCAAACGTCCGACCTCTCTGACATGGATACTTCCTCTGAGCCAATCAAGGAACTCCAGTTCTCTGCCCTATTCTGCCCTAACAGGAGGGGAGGAAAGATGGAGAGAGAACAGGAGAGGGTAAGATTGCTGTGATTACATCAAGTCTATCACGTGTATTAAATGTATGTGTAAATCTTCCCATTCTAAATCAACAGATATGTCAGCTTAATGACTTTAAACAGTTTTTATCATTATAATAACACATTTTAGCTACAGTTGAAGTCGGAAGTTTACATACACTTAGGTTGGAGTCATTAAAACTCGTTTTTCAACCACTGCACAAATGTCTTGTTAACAAACTATCGTTTTGGCAAGTCGGTTAGGATATCTACTTTGTGCATGACACAAGTAATTTTTACAACAATTGTTTACAGACAGATTACTTCACTTATAATTCACTGTATCACAATTCCAGTGGGTCAGAAGTTTACATACCCTATGTTGACTGTGCCTTTAAACAGCTTGGAAAATTCCAGAAAATGATGTCATGGCTTTAGAAGTTTCTGATAGGCTAATTGACATAATTTGAGTCAATTGGAGGTGTACCTGTGAATGTATTTCAAGGCCTACCTTCAAACTCAGTGCCTCTTTGCTTGACATCATGGGAAAATCCAAAGAAATCAGCCAAGATCTCAGAAAAAAACTTGTAGACCTCCAGATGTCTGGTTCATCCTTAGGAGAAATGTCCAAACGCCTGAAGGTACCACGTTCATCTGTATAAACAATAGTACGCAAGTATAAACACCATGGGACCACGCAGCCGTCATACCGCTCAGGAAGGAGACGCGTTCTGTCTCCTAGAGATGAACGTACTTTGGTGCGAAAAGTGCAAATCAATCCCAGAACAACAGCAAAGGACCTTGTGAAGATGCTGGAGGAAACGGGTACAAAAGTATCTATATCCACAGTAAAACGAGTCCTATATCGACATAACCTGAAAGGCCGCTCAGCAAGGAAGAAGCCACTGCTCCAAAACCGCCATAAAAAAGCCAGACTACGGTTTGCAACTGCACATGGGGACAAAGATCGTACTTTTTGGAGAAATGTCCTCTGGTCTGATGAAACAAAAATAGAACTGTTTGGCCATAATGACCATCGTTATGTTTGGAGGAAAAAGGGGGTCGCTTGCAAGCCGAAGAACACCATCCCCACTGTGAAGCATGTGGGTGGCAGCATCATGCTGTGGGGGTGCTTTGCTGCAGGAGGGACTGGTGCACTTCACAAAATAGATGGCATCATGAGGAAGGAAAATTATATGGATATATTGAAGCAACATCTCAAGACATCAGTCAGGAAGTTAAAGCTTGGTCGCAAATGGGTCTTCCAAATGGACAATGACCCCAAGCATACTTCCAAAGTTGTGGCAAAATGGCTTAAGGACAACAAAGGCAAGGTATTGGAGTGGCCATCACAAAGCCCTGACCTCAATCCTATTGAACATTTGTGGGCAGAACTGAAAAAGCGTGTGCGAGAAAGGAGGCCTACAAACCTGACTCAGTTACACCAGCTCTGTCAGGAGGAATGGGCAAAAATTCACCCAATTTATTGTGGGAAGCTTGTGGAAGGCTACCCGAAACGTTTGACCCAAGTTAAACAATTTAAAGGCAATGCTACCAAATACTAATTGAGTGTATGTAAACTTCTGACCCACTGGGAATGTGATGAAAGAAATAAAAGCTGAAATAAATCACTCTCTACTATTATTCTGACATTTCACATTCTTAAAATAAAGTGGTGATCCTAACTGACCTAAGACAGGGAATTTTACTTGGATTAAATGTCAGGAATTGTGAAAAACTGAGTTTAAATGTATTTGGCTAAGGTGTATGTAAACTTCCGACTTCAACTGTAACTGAGGATTTTTTGGAATGGAGACCACAGACGCACACATCTAAGGTCATTAACCCTTTAAAAATAATTTACTAAAGTTCTATTTTTAATGCTTTTGCTCACAATAGCTAGGTTTCCATACAATTGGCGACAGAATTTAATGTGAATATTCTAGAATCTGTGTAAAAAAAATATGCATTTTCCACCTAAAGTACTTGTTGTGGATAAAAAACCAGTGCGTGATGACGTAGTGCACACAAAATGTACTTTTATGCTTAAGTGTTCATGTACCGAATAAAAAACTAAAATTCAGTGTGTTTACATCGCATTTTTAACTCTACCCATAGTTTTGTGAAAAACAGTTGTGTTAAATAGCAAATGTGCCTACTCTGGTCTTGGCACCTGCGCTCTAGCCAACAGCTCGCACATAGGCTACAGTGTGTTTAGGCTGTGCGGGTTGGCTAGTCTACATGATGGGATTATTACGGATAACAGCGACAATATTTGTATTTGTCAAACGGCAGTCAGGCATCGATCATCATGTCACCAGAATAAGACCCTCGATATTTATTGGAAAGGAGCATCAAGCTCATCACCGTGCACATTCACCACCCATCATAACTTATTTCATCTGTAGCCTAATCAACTGCATGGTTTCCCGAGTCGTAGTGGGAGGACCACACACCATATCATTGCGTGACTCCAAATTTACTTTGATATGACGGTTATAATATTAATATTTGCGCATATAGGCGTTCCCACTTCCACCGCCCTTTCCCACATTGTTTTTGTGGATGTATACAATACATAAAATACTTTTGTTTACTGTCTAGCATTCTAAATAATAGATATCTCTAAATCCCTAAAAGATGTCACTACAACTCTACTCATCACTACAGGGACAAGCTAATTTGCTTGCTCTTGGTACTTTATACAATGCATTAAGGTAAAGTTTTGCAATATGAACGATTTCCGTTATGTTTTAGTTCAATATAAACAAAAAAACATGTATGATTTGTAACTATTTGTCATTTTAAAGTGTTTTTCAAGGTTGCAAAGCCGGGAGACGCAAATGCCACCACAATTCAAGAACGATCCTATTATTAAGTTACGTTTCCATGGTGACCTAGAGATTGTGTATCTCATTTGTCTTCCATTCCTGATATCATGAACTCACTGACAGAGATTGATAAGAGCACTGTGCATTGCCTGTATGGTGAGTACATTGCCTGTAGGCTATGCATAGGACATCTGTGTTCTACCAGGAAGTTTGACATGTACTGTTCTTCGCCATACATTAAACCCCATTGTCAACCCTCTCCCTTGCCATTCCTTGTGTCTGTTTGCTGTGCCAGTGGCCAGTTTGGATGGGATCGGGGAGCTTATGTTCCCGGTTTTCTGCCCAGCAGGCCTCCTGTACTATACCTACTAACAGGTTGACACACACACACACACACAGCAGTGTCCTAGTCTAGAATGAGGTCAATTTGGTGATTAGGCAGAATAGGAACTTCCTGTGACTGACTAACACACTTACCATTCAGAATGCCGCTGGACATCTCTGTCTCTCGCTCTGACTCATCCTGTCGAGCTTCCTCCTCCTCCTCCTCCCCCCTCCTTCCCCAGTCCTCATGTGTGGCGTCCTGTGTGGGGGTAGGGGGACCAGGGGGAGAGGCCAGGCACATGAACTGTGACCTCCTGGGTTTGTTTCTGCGGTGGGCCAGGCGGGGTTGCAGGCTCCGTCTACAGGCCCCATAGGTCGGATCCTCTGCCTCAGAGTCCAGTGAGCGAGTCAGGGAGAGACGTAGGCGAGCTTGAGGCTTCTCTGGGGCCTTGTGGGCACTACGGAGATCCATGGTGTAAATAGTGTTCTACAGAGAGGGGAATAATAAAGTTGCCTTATAGAGTAGCAGTGTTTTCTCCAACATCATTCCCCCTTTAGTTAGTACGCCAACTAGTATTACTCTGTCTAAACAGACACAGGAGAAGTTATAAATAACATTAACCCATCCCACCTGTAGTAGAAGCCTTTTAGCTTTGGGTCCTCTCTTCCGGTACCCTAGAGCTCTGTCCTTCTGCTCTCTGGTGGAACGGTAAGGTCAGTCAGTACAAACAGGTATAGTTTACTACTATGTTAGTACGGTGTATTACTACTACTACTACTACTACAGCACTATTATATTCGTTAGCTAGGTAAGGCCTCTACGTAGTGTGCAGTGTCTCATGGACCTACTTCTCCTCATAGGCCTGCACCAGACGCTGGTCCAAGATGTGCTCCTCTGGTTCCCATGTACTGTATCTGTCCAGACAAAGACATCGCCGTGGTTACTCATCCTCATCCATCCAATAATACTCTGCATGACTCATGGTCCTGGATTACTGGATATGATGATGATGTCATAGAGTTGATACTCACTTGGGGGGCCATCCCTTCCACTTCAATAGATATTCAACCTTCCCCTGTGACACAGAACGTTGGAGACAAACATCAATCAGGGAGAAAGAGGAGAGTGTGTGTGGGAGGATGTTGATGGTGATGTTGCTATGATCACAGTCTACTCCAAGCACAGAGATAAATAGCCTTTAATAACTTTTAAAAATCAAGGAAATGCATGTCTTCTCATCCTATACCGCTTCTCGACTGACAGCTCCTAAATAGCATGACGTCATCGCACATGATCGCACTGGTGACTGGAGAGAATTGGGATCCTCACGAGACCCCCCCCCCCCCCCAACTCACACTCTCAGAACATTATAAAATAATGTGTGGACTGGACAGTGATTAAAGCTAAGCCAACAATATTTGACAGAATGCATTGTTTTTCCCTATGTGACGGGGACTAGCTATAGTAACGGTTGATGGTGGATGCGCGCCTTCACTGACAATGACTCATGCACTGTATCGAGTTCACTTTTAATGCACTGCGAAATACGATATTAAAGACCCAACACTTACAAGGACTTGGTATCATACAGGATGCTTGTCAAACGAGGCGGCCGCGTTTTGCGCCCTAATAACCCACAATCCTGTACCTGCCATTTCCTCCGCGAAACTGCGTAGCTCTTCACAAATGCGCAATAATTGCATAACCCGTGGGCTATTCATCTGCCATTGCACAGGACTGAATGCAATGTTTAGGTTCCGATATGATGCTTCTGTTAGGATAGATAGTTGGCACCCTGACTGTAATGCGATTGCAACACGCTCCAGGTTATGTTAAAGTTAAAGGGATACTCCCCACTCTCACGCCCCCTTATACGTTTATGTCAGTGGATACTGGATATAAATAGGCTCTTGGTACAAGTGCTTTTCAATGTAGCCATCTGTGTTCCCAACTGAATGGAGGGTACCCTATAATGGATATTCTCCAAATTGCGTAAAATTATCATCATATAATTATGGTACATGCGTTTTATTTCCAATATGAACGCCTTACCTTTCTAACTCTTTTCTTGATGATTGATTCCACAGCAAACACTTGTTCACCAATCGCTGACAGCTCCATTGGTCCAATAGAGAACGTTCTGCTCACTCTTTGAAATAAACTGATCCAGTAGAGATGAGAATAACCGCTGTTGGTTCAGCTCTCCTCTACAAAGTAACTGTATAGGCTATGACAAATATCTAGACGTCGCGTTTAAAAATTGTATGCTCCTCCCTCTAGAAAGTGAGCTTTGTTTTGGTTGGAGATGAATTTCTCCCTTCCACTTCCTTTTACCCGACCTCTCCGTACGTACAGTGACTTCTCAAATCTGCGACACATCTGCACTGTTTGGCGCGTCCCCGTACTTCCAAACGCGCGTCCTATGCGCGCTCTTCGTTCCACAGTGCCAAAACAACGCTCAGCTCAAGCGAAACGCCTGGAACATGGGTCCGCGCACGCAAATGACACTAACAAGCAGTAGCAGGATAACAAAGTAGACAACCCTACGCCCGTTTCTTATAAATGTGCTCAATTTTCCATCCAAATTCCAACACCAATTTCACTCAAGAAATTAAGCCACATCCTCACAAAGGGGTGTACATATAAAGTGCCATTACAAGCATTTTATTTCTGTGAAAAAAGAGAAAACAGTAACACAACCAGGACCCTTTAATAGAAGGGTGGTAGGTGGGATTGTCATGGCAAAAATCTAAATCCACTATGACACTACATACTGGTTTAAAGGGGATTTTCTACCTGTGTGTTTGGTTGCCCAACCTGAAGTCCCCTAGGGCAGCCTCAGACCAGCAACCTCATTGTTTTGTCTCATGATTAGTGATTGTTGCAAATGATTAAATTATCAGTTGAATGAATCATGTGATTGGATGCTCTGGTGAATAGCAAAGCTGTTAGGATTGAGCCCACCTGGAGCAAAATTGAACAACCCCTCTTTAGGTAGACAATAATATCTGCTTCCTCTGTAAACAAGTTAAGGCCTTATTAAGTCTTCAATAATTCACAATATGTCGTTGTGATGATGATAATAATCTATCAACCAAATCTCTCAAACAGCTGTAAAAAATTCTCTCAATTTCTAAACTAACAGGTCTTGCTGGACTCCTCGAACTTTCACTTTTTCTTCTACACATCGATCGGACATACTTTCTCTTTCCATTACTCCTTCAACTGTCAACCTTTTCCCTCTTACTCCACTTCACTTTTCATCGTACCAACTTCCCTCAACGCACTCAGCATTCTGGACTTTTCAGCCGTGGCCAAGACATCTTCAGATAGATCAAAATCTAACATCAGTGCATTTCCAGTGAATAACTGTACACCTTGGGTATAATAACCATTTCTACCGATTCCACAATTCTGTATATTTGGCAGGTGGATTTTTCAAGATAACTATTTATCCATGGTCAATTGCCCATGTTTAGGGTCAGGAGTTTTTCTTGACCACATGATCTAACCAGAAAAAACTCTGGGCCCTGATTAGCCAATAATACAGGTTTGTGGCTTTCCCTGGTCAGGTCGCATGGTCAAGAACAAATCCTGGCTCTACCATGTTACAATATATAGCCATTTGTCAATACCTGGGCCTAACATGGCTTTAGCCAAGAGGAATTCTAATTTGATGACATGAACTAGCAGGGTTTTCTACTAACAGACAGAGATGGTCTCCGCAGTAACTGAGAGGATAAAACAGCTACATACACTCAGGTCCTCCTGTGCTATTGAGAAAACATGCTTCTCACCAACTATATTACAGTCTGTGTACACAATAGACACACCATGGAGTGTTTGGCATTATATTGGTTGCTGTCATCATTAGCTCTGTGTTTGTACAAACATTCATTTTTTTGGAGGGGGGGGGGGGGGTGAATTTAGTGTTGGCCGAGTGAAACACTCTCATTGTGAGCAGTGACATGATCAGAGGAAGACAGACAGGTAAAGAAGAGATGTACACAGTCACAGTAGAGCAGACAACGACAGATAAATGAGAGAGAGAGAGGGGACAGAGAGACAGATATATATAGAGAGAGAGAGGGGACAGAGAGACAGATATATATAGAGAGAGAGAGGGGACAGAGAGACAGATATATAGAGAGAGAGAGAGGGGACAGAGAGACATATATATATAGAGAGAGAGGGGACAGAGAGACAGATATATATAGAGAGAGAGGGGACAGAGAGACAGATATATAGAGAGAGAGAGGGGACAGAGAGACAGATATATATAGAGAGAGAGGGGACAGAGAGACAGATATATAGAGAGAGAGAGCGCTAGCGAGAGCGACAGACGGGTAGTATTACACACAGTCACATGCCTCTCACACTTGGAAACTGGAAACGGTAACGTACAAAAAAAATCAAAAGTAACATTGAAAAATAGTCATCAATATATATAAAAACACATTAGAATCCCAAACACGTTTATAAATCTGAGTATTGTGTAGTGTGATTTCTTCGTGACCTCCCTGTATTCGTCTGTTTCCTTCATCGCTTCAGGTCTCATCAGCCATAGTCCAGCAATATGTGTGTGAGCAAAAAAAGTATGTCTGGTCGGTGTGCATCTGTGTGACTGGCTGAACACAACCCCACCGGCTCTTCAATCTGTCCCCTGATTGGATCATGCCTGTTATCCCGAGCAAGAACTGGGAAAAGTCTAATCCGGTAGAGAAAAGGTCAATCAACAGCCATCTGATCTCCATGTTTGGTGGACCTCCACCTCCTCAGACACCACCAATAGGAGCTCACCATTTTTCCCTCTCAGCTGGTGACGCAGGAACTTCCTGTTGTGTGGAGGGTATCGAAAGAACAGAAGGAGAATAAAGATGTCAGCTTGTTATTTATTAGGTGTTAGACAAGGATCAATCATCATTGTGAATGGTGGCCTTGGAATTGACTATTATTTGGGAATGAGACTGTGATTTTGTATTACTATCTGGCACCACCTAGTGGAGACAATACAAATTACGTTCTCTCTTGGCCGCTCCACAATGTATGTAAAATGAACAACGCAAATCATGATGGACTCAATCTACTGACTGGACAGGATAATTGGGATGACACACACACGCGCGCGCAGTACCTGAGCTCATCAGGGTTTCCGATGGTGTGTGGGACTGCGTAGTTTGGAGTCAAGGTTGTAATAGACTCCGCCCACCTCCCGCACCCCTATCCAGTGCTGGCGTTTGAGTGGCAGGCGCAGCGGACCCCAGCGCAGATTGGACGGGACGTTCAGGATGAAGCCCGTTACGTTGGTTAGCGCAATACTGTCCACATCCCTGCAGGAACACAATACACAAGTCAATCACACACGGACTTCCATAGGTCTTGTAGGAGTGGATTTTCAGTAGCTACTGTAATGTTGTAAATCCATGATGATGTCTGTAGGGGAGAGTGGGGTAAATTGAGCCAAAGGGATTAGTTGTTTCTAGATAACTATAAACAAACTTAATCATGTGACCAAATATGTATAATAGGTCATAATTTCATGGCCTCTGTGAAGAAACCACATGGGAAAAGTGATAAGAAAGTTATGTCCAAAGAATGGATTTTCACAAAGTCTAATGATTTTATGTTAGAGGTTTCATGATGCTTGTATCTAAACCAAAGTATACTTTTAAGATTGTTCTATACATCAGTTGGGGTCTTTATAAGCTACAATATGAGTTCCTAAACCTAGCATGAACATGCATCCTTGTAGCTGTGTGGGCTAATATAGCCAAAATGTTTGCCTTGGGGTAAGTTGAGCCAATGGCCACCATACCCCATACAAATGATGATTACATTTAGTCAGTTCTACACATAATATGCATAGTAGCATGGTATTTTTGCAATGTGTCATGCTTATGAACTCAAGATAGTGCATTTTTATTGTTACAGAGCAGACATCATCATGCCCTGTGTATTCAAACGTAAAACAAGCAGGGGTCTTGAGGTTCTTGAGAGAGCAGCCAAGGAAGTGAGAGAAGCAGCAAGGGGTGAAACAAAGACAATGACACAAAAGAAAACAATACATGTACCTGTGAGAAAGAGAGGTTATGATAGAGTAGCAGAGGCACACAAGGTCTTATCTGATGACATGGTGCCTGAGCTTGATAAACATATCAAGAATTTTGCGGACCAGTTTCATGGGCTTAGAAGCCTGAAATGCAGAGAACTTGCCTACGAATTTGCACATTGAAACAACATACCTGTCCCAGACAACTGGTCAAGAAATGGAAGGGTAAGTGATATTGAACAGAGAGATCTATGTCTGAATACATTTAAGATATACACTGAGTGTACAAAACATTAGGAACACATTCCTAATATTGAGTTGCAGCCCTCCCTTTTGCCCTCAGAACAGCCTCAATTCGTCGGGACATGGACTCTACAAGGTGTCGAAAGTGTTCCACAGGGATGCTGGCCCATGTTGACCAATGCTTCCCTCAGTTGTGCCAAGTTGGCTGGATGTCCTTTGGGTGGTGGACCATTCTTGATACATTGGAAACTGTTGAGCATGAAAACCCAGCAGCGATGCAGTTCTTGACACACTCAAACTGGTGCGCCTGGCACCTACAACCATACCCCGTTAAAAAGCACTTTAAACTTTTGTCTTGCCCATTCACCCTCTGAATGGCACACACACACAATCCATGTCTCAAGGCTTAAAAATCCTTCTTTAACCTGTCTCCTCTCCTTCATCTACACTGATTGAAGTGGATTTATAAGGTGACATTTTCACCTGGTCAGTCTGTCATGGAAAGAGCAGGTGTTCCTAATGTTTTGTACACTCAGTGTACAATATAGCATATTGAATATATCAAAGGAGGCTGCTGAGGGGAGAACGGCTCATAATAACGTCCGGAACGGAGCGAATGGAATGGCATCAAACACCTGGAGACCATGTTTGATACTATTCCACCACTCCGCTCCAGTCATTACCACGAGCCCGTTCTCCCCAAGTAAGGTGCCACCAACCTCCTGTGCAATATACCACACCCCCATTCCATGAATTAAACTTTGATCTACCAGCCCCATCACCCACTTACCCCAAGGCGGCTCAACTAACCCCATATATTGAGCCAAGAGACCACTTTTTTTTGACAATCTATGTTTTCAAAACTATCATGTTTACATGAATTCTGATTATTTCCAGGGAAACCCAACATCCTGAAATATATGTAGATATCTGTTAGAAAGAAAACAATATTTGCCTTGATGTAGTGATGCTGAATGTAAAAAAAGTGCTAAACTTCCCCCACTCCCCCCTATGAATGCACCCTACATATGTCTGTATGTCTGTATGTCTGTATGAGTAGCTGCCTTGTGCTCGACAGGGATTCAGAGTGAAGAGGATATGTAAATAAGTCTTCCTCTTTATAGCTGGTGTACGGCCAGTGATTGAAGTGAACTAAATTGAGCACGGCTGAACCGACTGACATAGTTGCTGCCAACACACGCACCAAAAAGGGAGAGGAGTAAAGAAGATTGAGAATACGAATGAGCATAGCATTGTGGCTCCAATGGCTCAGTGGGTTGGATGGTGCTTGTTGTGGATTTGAAAACTCCTGCATGGGCCATGTACATCGCTTTGGATAAAAATGTTAGACAAATGACTAGATAGGGTAGAAGGCCATATAGCTTTGATGAGAACAGAGGTATACCTTCTTTTATCCCACCAGACAGCCTCATATCCTCGTGTCTGCAGAGCGGCCATAATGACATTCACGTCATAGTTCCCATTCCCCAGCATGCTCTTCTTGTGGGGGGTTACCAGAGTGCCAGGAGAGAGTCTGTGGAGAAAGGGACAAGATAGAGTGATGAGGACAGAAGAAGCAAGAGAGAGAAAAAGATAAAGGTTGACAAAGGTAGAGAGAGAGAGGTGCAGAAGGGAGAGAAAAAGTGAGAGAGGGGATGAAAGAGGAAAGGACTTTGAGAGACAGAGAATGGATGAGAGAAATATCTCCCTAGAGGACACAACCTTAACCCCCCACCTCTGGTAGATGTCCTGGAGAGTATCCCTGCTGAAAGCTGCCCCATCCTGGAAGACGTTATTGAGCGCGTGCAGAGCACACAGCTCCCGCCGCTGCTTCTCGTGGTAGATGGGCAGTGGAGGCGGGGCCGGAGGGGTCGATAGATCATGCTCTCCAAGGTCTGACCTCTCCTCCCCCCCTCGCGCCACCACCTCTTTCTGCTTGCTCAGCTTCCATGGCATACAGCCCAGGTCCTGCAGCCCCCCTCCCGCCCTCCCCTTACCGGAACATGGAGCACTCCCCATCACCCTGTCACTACACCGACACAACTGCAGTCGCCATGGCAACCTTTCAGCTGCTGTAAGGGCGTGCGTGTGGCTAGGGGGAGGTGGGTTACACTGAGGGGGTCCAGTTCACTTCAGCTACACCTGCCGTTTCAAAAGGGACAATTGGAAGAAAATAAAAAAACTGCAGGCTAACAAACAGTGTTCAAGTTTGGAGTGGAGGAGGCCTGGATTGAATTATGTGAACAAAACGTTGGGTGTGTAGACATTGATATTCCAGCTGCTTCAGTATAAAAAGAGAATCAACCACGAGGGTCATCGATGGCAAAACAAAAACTAGCAAGAGAAGCAAGAGTACGCGTCTCTTTTTTCAACTTCCTCCATTCTGATGTCTGTCCTCGTGACTTTTATTTTTTTTAGCACCTCAAGTGTCACTAGAGCTTACGAGTTCTTTCCATTTCTAGAGAGCCAAGAGGACCACGGCTCCACCATTAAGAGTTAGCTCCAGCGGAAAAGATGAGGGACTTGATACAGGACGCTTTGTGACATTTAGACAGGACTCCTTAGGAAAATAGCTGAGGGAGGCAGAAGAGAGGCAGAAATTCATGTTTAGAGGTTGTCACCGAAATCAATGTCATGCTGAAATAATTTAGGGATAACCAGGTGTTTTTCTAAAGAGTATTTTCAGCAGTGGTCAGCAGGAAGGAACAGAAGACACAGGGTAAACATTCTACTAACAGCTGACTCGATAAGAGCGGCAGGCTTGTGGCAACATCACACTAAACTGATATAACTAGACAACAGGCGTAAGAGACAGTCTTGGTATTATTTAGTATTCTGTAACACAAGTGATATTTACAGATTAACAAAATATGTCAAATCTACCTGATATTCAAATCCATCGCTCTAGCTAAAATCCAGTGGAACAGGAAGGCAGCTGCAAAGAAAGACTAGATTTGTCTGGCTGTACGTTCTATTTGTTTGATAGCGTAAGCATGGATGCGAAACCCTTCGTATTTAGTCGATTTATCTGTTGCCACTTACCTTTCGCTTTATGCGATACTACTGTAGTAGGGTTGTCATAATCCTGGTGAAATTAATCGTTTCGCCTCTTTTCCTGGGGTTGTTTAGTCCTTTGTCTTCAGCACTTTTTCCTTGTAGCGCCGTATTTCTATATGAGCATGCGCAAAACGTCAATAGCTTGTTTGCTTGTCACAGCCTGCGTCAACCCAATCTGCGAACTGTACTCCCTCTACTCAGTCCCTCCCTTAAGACTGCTAAACACTAGATTTAGTTTGTTTTAATATAAAAATGGGTTGAGACCAAAAATAATTTGTTGCAAAACATCCGAGCTCTCCAACAATAACGTTTAGATGGGCTCTTTTGACCTGGAGTTATTACACTAGCAGGAAATAGTCAGAGTCAATGGATTTATTTGGAAGCAACTTTTTAATACTTCCAAAAAAATTATGAAACCATGGGAGGAATGTAGTAGACACATACAAGAAAGAGTGTGCAAGAAAACAAAGTAGGGTACATGAAGGCAAATTGACATTGATTAAATACTGTTCAATAACAGCAGTACCGTAAGAACATGATCTTGACATTTTACAAAACAAGCCCATGCTAAGTCTTACATACTTAACAATAATTCATACAGTCAGTGAAATGAGGATCAATTCCCCAAACACAATAACATACCCAGAATCCAAGAGTGACAAAAAAAAGTCAACAAAATGCACCTAAACCCAAAATGAAGTATTTCTCTTCTACTCTCAATACTCCTGTCCCAGTTTCCGTGCCAACACAGAGGCCATGTCCATCAGCAGTTCCTCCATCACACTGTCCTCCCTTTTCTGCAGCTCGTGGGTGTAGTGTCCCCTCAGTGCCCTCATCTCTGCTACCCTCTCCAGCAGCCCCCTGGCCAGCTCCCTCCTCTCCGCCACCGGCCTGTCTGGGTTGTTGTCCACAAGCTCAGCCCGCTGACCACACAGAGACAGAGCAGTTCTGAGGCCTCCAGCATCATCCTCCAGTAGCTGGGCTAGCGTGGAGCCCGGGCCCAGACAGTCAGCATGGGTGAGGACAATGAGGATGTGGCCTGTGGCACTCTCCCCGACCAGCTCTAGGAGGGCCCTGGTGGCGCTAGCAGCATCCTGGTCCACCCCATCTCCAGGGATCCGGAGCACCAGCAGAAAGGCATGGGGGCCTGGGCTGGCCAGCTGCAGGCTGCGGAGGGCCTCCAAGGCTCTCATACTGTCGCCCAGAGATGGACCCAGGAGGTCTGGGGTGTCTATTACGATCAGCTCTCGCCTGTCCACCACCGCCCTCCGCTTGGTACACTCCATCACAGCCCCCAGGGACCCCCCAACTTGAGGGAGGCTGCAGCCAACCAGGGTGTCTGCAAGGGAGGTCCGGCCTCCACCGGGAAGCCCCATAAGGATGAGCCTCAGCCCAGGCTCACTGGGAATAGGGCTGGGAGAGGGCTCTGTGCCTGGGGGACTGTCACTAGAAGCCCCTGGAAAATAAATAGACAAGGGAGTGCATAAATAATTCACAAATTTGTTGGTCTGAGCAAAAATTAAAAGGAACATGAGAGCAGAACAGTTAATTCAATGAATTGAGGGATTTATGTCATGATTTCATCAAGTGCCATTTCTATTATAAAGGAAAACAACCCACAAGATTAAAGGACACAGTTGATAGGATGTTATTTGTGCAGGAATACAGATGCAGCTAGGAACATAATATAAATGCTCTAAATCCTCTTTCAGTTTGCTGACAGATTCCACACATTGCTTCACATTTGATAGTGAACCTGAGGGGAACAGTATGGTAAACTAAATTACACATAAAAAAGAACAGAACTTACAATTAAATAGAGAAGGGAGAACGAGTGAGAAAGGGGAGAGAAACTTACCAGAGTTGTTTTTAATGATAACAGTGAACCCGCTGAGTTTTGAGAATGAAGCTGATAGACGAACAAACAATATCAATACATTATCAACACTTTGTAATCAATCAAAGACATGATCAGTCATATGGTGGGTGGGTATTAGCAATCTCTTACCAACTATAAACCTCCAAATACGAGACAGACACTTCAGAAAGTACTGTAAGCCTGAAACACAAAGACAGAATTAACAAATCATTCACCACAACAACATACATTACTCTACTTTAGGATTACCTCAAATCTGTGATGCAATCAATTAATCTACTGCATATGTTACATTCAGATGAGTTTAGTAAACATATTAATGAATATTGAGAAAGGTTAAGAATTGTGACAGTACGTACTACGAAGAGTTCCCATCAGGTGGCTCACCCAACCCCACAGTGAGGACAGACCTAAAACAGAGGGAATAGTATTTAGTTTAAAATAGTATTTAATCAAGAAGACATTTAATTTAATCTGTTGCTCAGATGAAGATACTCAGATAAATGTTGACACCTGATGAATGATTAGACATGTAGGCTGAATAATGCAATACGGTTCAAGGTTCAACCTCCAGTTGGATCCCAGCCATGATGACGTACCAGTGAGCGTGCAGAAGAGATGGATGGGCCATCTTATCAGAGCTGGGAGGGCTGTAGCGGGCCAAAGAGATAAATGAACTCAATCAGGATCAAACAAAGGAATACTATTTACGGACACAAAACAAATTGATTATCAAGCAATCAGATACACAACACCAGTTGATGTCAAAACCACAGTCAGTCCCCAGATGGGAGAGAGGATCATCTTACAGATAAGACAACATTATGTACATCAAATAAGTATTTGCTGACAATAGTACTGTTGTGGCTAAGACTACTGACCCTGTGAGAATCTGTAGAGGAGATAGCCCACCACAGTGAGAGCTCCTGTCAAAACACTGTTGAAGTCCAACCACAAACCTGCAGGGAGAGAGATAAGTAGTGAAGCATGAGACTGATCAATTTTCTTTACTTGTCAGGAGTTTAACCTTTAAACCCAAAACGGTGGCCTTATCAGCTTAGTATACTTTTGCGTTTTGTATTTATTTTCCTAGTCTACATGCGTTATTGTATATATTTATAATATGTAGCCTACATTTCGGACTCAACTGTCTCTAAAGTGATACCAAACAAACAGCGACTTTGTCATTGATATTAGGCCCGTCAATACAAAACAGAAAGATTGTAACAGAAAAATAACTCCGTTCGACATGTTACACAGACGGAGCAAATATCGGTATATTACTTGTTACTTTTACATCTTGGTTGGATTGACTAATAGTTATATTTGACGGACGTGAGTATCCTTCTTACCAGTGCTACCATCTCCACAGTAGGCTGAAGTTGAGGTACAATCGCTGTCCGGTTTGCAGTCACACTGGTCTATATTCACAGGTAAACCCGGCCCGTATGCTACTGGCCAAAACCAAAGCGCCATCTCCCGTTACGTGAAAGTACTTTGATGACTCGCCCGAACAAAATTGTTCTTTATTGTGACTGAAGGAGCGATATAATGCTGTATTTGTGGCACTGAGACACGCCTTTTTCTAATCATACAAGTAGGATGGGAAATACAGGTAACTGCCAAAATAAAGGAAACACTTGAGTTAATGAGGGACACAAAGTATTTTAAAAGCAGATGCTTCCACACAGGTGTGGTTCCTGAGTTAATTAAGCAATTAACATCCCATCATGCTTAGGGTCATGTAGAAAAATGACCAGTTGCCCATTATTTTGCCTACCATGGCAAGAAGAGATCTCAGTAGCTAGGTTTCCATCCAATTGTTGACAAATTTAATGCGAATATTCTCAATAATATGCGCATTTTCCCACCAAATGGACTTGTGGAGAAAAATCAGTCAGTGATGACATGTTGCGCACAACATTTACTTTTTCGTGTACGTTTTAATGTACTGAATAAAAATCTAAAGTTCAATGTGTTTCCATCACATTTTCAACTCAACCGATAGTTTTGTCACAAATTGTTGGGTGAAATATAAAATGTGCCTACTCTGGTCTTGCATGTGCACTCTAGCCAACAACTTGCAGATAGTGCGGATAGGCTATAGTCTACACCAGGGTTCTTCAATTCCGGTCCTGGAGGGCCGAAACACTTCTGTTTTTTATTTCTACCTGGTAGTTAATTGCACTCACCTGGTGTCCCAGGTCTGAATTAGCCCCTGATTAGAAGGAGAGGATGAAAAACGGAGGTGTTTCGGCCCTCCAGGACCGGAATTGAAGAACCCTGGTCTACACGTTGATATTATTATGGATAAGAGGGAGAATATTTGTATTTGACAAATGGCAGCCAAGCATCGTTCATCATGTCACCATAATAAGACCCTCGATATTTATTGGGAAGCAGCATCAAGCTCAACACCATGCACATTCACCACCCTCTGAAGTTGATCATAACTTATTTCATCTGTAGCCTAATAAACTGCATGCTTTCCCGAGTCGTAGTGGGAGGACCACACCACATATCATCCCTTGACTCAAAGTTTACTTCGATATGATTGTTCTTACACTCACTGAACAAAAATATAAAAGCAACATATAAAGTGTTGGTCCCATGTTTAAAAAAAAAAAATCCCCGACATTTTACATAACTACGAAAAAGCTTATTTATCTCAGATTTTGTGCACAAATTGTGCATTAAATTCTCTGGCCAACAGCTCTGGTAGACATTCCTGCTGTCAGCATGCCAATTGCACGCTCCCTCAAAACTTGAGACATATGTGGCATTGTGTTGTGTGACAAAACTGCAAATTTTAAAGTGGCCTTTTATTGTCCCCAGTACAAGGTAAGCCTGTGTAATGATCACGCTATTTAATCAGCTTCTTGACATGCCACTCCTGTCAGGTGCTCACTAACAGGGATGTAAACAAAATTGTGCACAACATTTGAGATAAATATGCTTTTTGTACATATGGAAAATTGTGATCTTTTATTTCAGCTCATGAAACATGGGACCAACACTTTACATGTTGCGTTTATATTTTTGTTCAGTGTAGATTAAATAGGGTTTATTTGAACTATTTTCATAGCTCCTTACTCATGATAAAAAAAGGTATTTAGTTTTGAACGGTTTGAGCTAGAGACTAGTTTTTTCCGCATTGTTAAGGTGCAACCACGGACACAAAGCCATGCTTGTGTGCATGGAGACAGCTAATCCTAATCAAATGCCCGTGCTAATGGTTCTCACAGGCAAAGTAAAATTATATAAAATTACTGTCTGGGATTTTTTATTTCAGCTCTTGAAACATGGGACCAACACTTTATATGTTGCTTTTATATTTTTGTTCAGTGAGTGTAAGAACAATCATATCGAAGTAAACTTTGAGTCAGGGGATGATATGTTGTGTGGTCCTCCCACTACGACTCGAAAAATATATGTCCAGCAACAACATGAAGACAGGGGCAGCATATAAGTCAATACCAGAAGCATTTATTGACTGATCTCAAAAGTGTTGGCTTACCAGGGTTGGTGGAGCCCTCAGTTTCATCTTTGCCTCGCAAAGCTAACTCAAACACTCCGCAAAACTTCACACACTGGATTAGCCGGCTGAGGATGTGGCGGTTCTTGCTAATGTTGTAGTAAATATATTTGTTATAGTGAATATGGAATATGATATGTTAAGTAAAATGTTGTGCTAAGATCTATTTAGGTCAGGAGCTGGTTATAAGTTCTGTTCCTATCCAATAACAATGGACAAAAGGGTCCTATCTTGTCAGCCTTGTCAGTTTCAGTTCTCCAGTAAACTTGTGATTATCAACACTAACCTCATCGTTGTGGCGGCGGACAGCTAGCCTGTATCCCTCATCCAGTTGAGTGGGAATGTTCACTCTCCCCAAAGCAGACTATCTCAAACAGCTATCCATGTGGGTCTTTGACAGCTCATGTTTCTTAATCTTTCCTGAAAGATGGTGCATGTCCGTTACACACCAGTCGCTGTCCAAGCGGTGCTGTCTGCCGTGCCGCCTTCAGGGTGAAAGAGTAAGCAGGGGGTAGCAGAAGACTGCATTAGCTACATCGCAGCCTGCTAGCCAGGTTTTTCGTTCGTACCAATTTTTGGAAAATCCTCGGGTGTAGGACTTCCCCCCTTTAGTAGAAACCTGTTGAATTATTAAATTTGGTCTGGGAGGTCCTAATTGTTTCGTTGCCAATTTATCTTCATTTGTTCGCCGACAAAAAGGAACTTCTTTCAAAGACACAATCGCGTTGCACTGAAGGCTAGCCATTTTGACAGTAATAGTGAATTGATTGATGAGGCTACCCGCTCTTTTCTTAGTTACGTTCATGGTTACGTTACGTATGACGAAAGCGCGTAAGTGCAAGCCCTCAGAAACCCATAGAGATTGTATTGAAAGCTCTGATATTTGAAAAAAATAGATTTTAATGGAGTCTAGACAGACTTCTGGGGATTTCACCGATGAAATCGCCCAAAGGGGGGGTGGCATTGAGCACGATGCGATGGACATTTTGGCATGGAGATCAGAGTCTAGATACACACTGAACTACTGTGCGGATAATGATTAGAAAAAAATCCTCTTTTCCCGTTTGGCAGTGCGTCGCCCAACAGCCTATTGACACACCGCCCTGCGAGGAATGCATGGTAAGAAGATGAAAGTATGAGTACTTCAGAGGGTGGTGAAGTGATGGTGATGAGCTTGTCTGCTTCCCAATAAATATCGAGGGTCTTATTATGGTGACATGATGAACGATGCTTGGCTGCCATTTGTCAAATACAAATATTCTCCCTCTTATCCAAAGTTGTTTTAGAGAATTCCGCAGTGTGTCCAACCGGCCTCACAACCACAGACCATGTTTAACCATGCTAGCCCAGGACCTCCACATCCGGCTTCTTCACCTGCGGGATCGTTTGAGACCAGCCACCTGGACAGCTGATGAAACTGAGGAGTATTTCTGTATGTAATAAAGCATTTTTTGTGGGGAAAAACAATTTCTGATTGGCTGGACCTGGCTCCCCAAATGGGTGGGCCTATAACCTCCCAGACCCACCCATGGCTGTGCCCCTGCCCAGTCATGTGAAATCCATAGATTAGGGCCTAATGAATTTATTTCAATTGACTGATTTATATTTAATGAACTATAACTACACTTAACCCTAATTGCTCCTGTAAGTCGCTCTGGATAAGAGCGTCTGCTAAATGACTAAAATGTAATGTAATGTAATAACTCAGTAAAATCTTTGAAATTGTTTCATGTTGCATTTATATTTTTGTTCAGTATAGTTCTTTTTATTCGGTACATGGGACTTTAACCGCAAAATGTATTTTTATGTGCACTATGTCATCACGCACAGCCTTTTATTTGCAACAAGTAAATTTGATGGAAAATGTGCATATTGTTTTTATGCAGATTTTAGAATATTGATGAAAATCTGTTGCCAATTGGATGGAAACCTAGCTAGTGACTTTGAAAGAGGGGTCTTAAAGGTGCATAGGGGATTTAAAGGGTGTGTGTGTCTCAGTAACCAGATCTCAACCCAATTAAACACTTATGGGAGATTCTGGAGCGGAGCCTGAGACGGCGTTTACCACCACCATCAACAAAATACCAAATGATAGAATTTGTCATGGAGTCACATGCCTCCAAAATAGTTCCAGACACTTGTAGAATCTATTCCAAGGCGCATTGAAGCTGTTCTGGCGGCTCGTGGTGGCCCAATGCCCTATTAAGACACTTTGTTGGTGTTTCCTTTATTTTGTGAGTTCAAGAACTGCAGACACAAGTCAAACTTGAAGCAATTACATTTTACATTTACATTTTAGTCATTTAGCAGACGCTCTTATCCAGAGCGACTTACAGTTAGTGAGCGCATACATTTTTTCATACTGGCCCCCCGTGGGAATTGAACCCACAACCCTGGCGTTGCAAACACCATGCTCTACCAACTGAGCTACACAATCTCAGACAATTACAGACAATTACATTGTTCCTCTTCATTTTTTATTTCAAAGTTTAAAATATGTAAAGAAACAAAAAGTAATATTCTTCTTCTAGCAACGCAAATGAGAAACATTGCATATTTTCCCCATTTGAAGTACAGTGTTACATCTCAGATTAGAAATCTTGAAATGTAAGCCTAAAGCAAAGACAGACCAATAATCCTGCTTCCTAGTGCCTCTGACCAGAATATCGACAGCGTAGATGTCAACATATTTTGACATCTAAGCCTCATTTCGTGAGCTGTGCAGTCAGGGCGTCTATTAGCTCCTGTTTCTTGGTCCCTGTGACCTTCACCCCAAACTGCTTGCAGGCGTCCTTCAGCACGGGCACCGTCAGCTTACCCAGGGTGCCTTTCTGTACGTGACCCCTCAGCTCGTCCTCAGACATCTCCACCTTGGGCTTCTTCTCTGCGCCGCCTGCCGCCTCAGCTGAACACACACAGGGCCAGGATGTTACAACAACCAGTATTTCAACAGTGACACTGCCAGCTACTACACTGATATTTCTTACTCCATGTGCCAGACCCAAATCTCCCCTACGGGACACATAGCAAGTAAACCATTCACCACAATATAGATCACACAGAACTCACCTGGTTTGCGTTTGGGTGCAGTCTTGCCCTCTGGGTTGTAGTCAGCAGGGTACACCAGATCTCTGAACTCCTGAGCCAGGGAACCAAGACGCTGGTCCATCATATTCACATTGGGCACTGAGGGAGGAGCGAGAGAGAGAGATAGATAAGGAGAGATTGAACAGAAAGAATGGACAAGAAAAAGCGAGCTTGAGCACTGCTAAAAAAGAAGCATGTGGGCCAATCAAAAGCATATGGTGTGTGTATCAGTCTTACTGGTGTGGTCCTCTATGTGCTCTGGGGCCATGAGATCTAAAGCCAAGGCTTCCAGGTTCCTGTAGTGTTGCTGGAGGACTGGGTTCTCAAACGCATCACTCCTGGAACACAGGAAGAGCAACACATAGACAACACTGGAGTGGGAATCTCAAGACTCTTTCAGGTCATATTCTAGGATGTTTACAATAGTGTTCCCTTCGTTTTCTACTACGCTTTTACTTTTATGTTTTATGCTTTAACTCTTTTAAAAATGTGAATCCTGGTATTCACTGTAATAAAAAGGCCGTACCTGTATTTGAAGCGTAGCTTGTGTACTATCTCCTTCATCTTGTCCACCTGGGCGTTGGAGGCCGTGGGGAGCTGAGGAGTGTCCAGGGTACGGATGTCATCCGCGTAGGGCAGGAAGATGCCATGGAAGCCTGAGACGAACACAAACACACATCACTACAATTAGTCTGAACGTTTAAAAGTATATTAATTGTGTGGTATTTGTGCAAGACCAGCGGCTACAGTGGGACCCAATGACTGTACCTGGAGCTGCAATCTGAGCCTGGCCCTCATCCACCTCCTCTCTTTGGGGCACCAGCGCTAAGAAGCGCGGGGGAGAGTTACGAATCCGTGTGTATTTACACAGAGCGAACACGTTCCTCTCACTACATCTGCGCAGCAACGCTGTGAAAACACAGGCACTCCCTGGGATGGAAAAACAGAAGAGATTGAGAAAGGGGTTTAAAGTTGGAACTCAAAATGTAATGGAATTGGAGTACGAACATGGGCTGACGTTTCTCAGATTACATTTTGACTTGTAGTTATGTATTCAACTGTCACCGTCTCTCTTCCCATCATAGTGACAGGTTCATAGTGTTGAGGGACGCACGCACACACCTGTGACCATTTCCTCCTCTGGGTAGATGAAGACAGCAGATCTGAGGTGGTGGTGCAGTTTGAGACGCTCCATGGGCTTGAACCCAATCAGCTCCAGACCCGGGTCAGAAAACTTCTTTATCACATCCACCTCGTCTTTCTCCATCACTATTTGCCTGCCTGCATACACCTACACAGACAAACACACAACCACAAATCACATCTAGACTGAAATGAACCTGACAGAATGAAAAATATGAATTCTGGCCTTAATGGCCATGTACTCTTATAATCTCCACCCCTCAGAGCCTGGTTCCTCTCTAGGTTTCTTCCTAGGTTCCTGCCTTTCTATGGAGTTTTTCCGAGCCACCATGCTTTTACATCTGCATTGCTTGCTGTTTGGGGTTTTAGGCTGGGTTTCTGTATAGCACTTTGTGACATCTGCTGATGTAAAAAGGGCTTTATAAATACATTTGATTTAATTCATACTTTCTTTGATACACTTCAAATATATATTTATTTGGTTTGATTTGAGATTCCCACTTAGTTACCTGAGCCTTCTTGGTGTCGCTGGGGAGCAGCAGGCTGCCCGTCTGTGTGTGGTAGAGGCGTGTCTTAGTGCGGACGGGCTCGTTGTTGTCTCTGTAGAGCTTGATGGCGTTAGGCTTCTTGGCCTGTAGGGCCGTGATGTACACACCCACCGCCATGTTCATCCCTTCCCCCAGACACAGATTCAACCTGAGACACAGAGGACAAGAGAGGAGCCATCAGCAACCAGGGCCCTGTTCAGTGTTATTACATGTTTGAAACATCTAAACATGTCCTATAAGAACACAGCGCCACGCCTATACAATGGAGAGGGAAACAGTGCTGGGCTGTGCTCTGTACCTTGCGACCGATCTCTTCTTCATCTCCTTGGCTCTGACCCTCTTCTGGAGGTCCTCCAATTTCCCACAAGGCTCCATCTGCAGGCCCAGCTCAGCCTCGTCCTCGGGGGGGCTCACCACGTCGCAGAAGAAGAGCGAGACGTCGAACCCACCTGGCTTCATCAGATGCATCAGGTCTATCACCACACCTGTGAGTGAGTGAGTGACAGAGAGAGAGAAAGAGAGATTACTGATCCTACATTGTTTGTGATAAACTAAACATTTGCAAGACCAAGATGTATTTCAGGCCACTTTTCAAACCCCTCCACCTACAACACAGTTACATCAAGGAGGCCAACTGGCATAAAGATACAACTATATGTGTTCTCTCTCTTTGACAACTGCCTTCCCCCTTTCTCCAGACCCACCAGTCTCTTTGAGGTCGCTAGCCTTGGTGCGGGCCTGGCGGTCGTGCTCGCTGTCGCCCCCGTGTGGCATGTCTCGGCAGGTGAAGATCATGAGGCGTTTGTGGGAGAGCCGAAGCTTGATGTCACTGTAGAGGTTGGAGCAGCACCACAGGGCCTCGCCTAGGTTGGTATACCCACTGCCCATGGTCTCCGCTGCCACATGGGCACCCTTCTCCCCACGCAGCCCGTCCACATCCTGCACCCGACGGGCACCTAGAGGAGAGAGGGAGGGAGAGAGATGGATGGATGGGGGTAAAAGAAAAGGATGGACAGAGAGATAGGTGAGGAGACTCCAAGACTCTTTCAGAACACACACTGAAACTGCAGGCCAGGGGGACATACCAGGTGAGTCCAGGTCATGGTAGATATAGACATGCTTGAAACTGTTCCTGGGGTTCTTGCTCTGTTCCGTCCCATAGAACACTAGAGCCACCAGGTCCTTGTCACTGCTGATGATCTTACTGGTGTAGACGCTGCGGACACACTGGGGAGGGAGAGTAGCACAATAGAATATATTACAACACTGTCAGAGGGCTAAGTAGGACCACAGAGTGATAAAGAGAGGAGGGTGAGTGGGAAAGGGCCATCAGTCATGTCACTTTTCATGATGCTGAGAGTTCAGTAATATTGATCATGTCTGAGATAAGGAGAGAAAGAGAGGGGGTGAAGAAAGGACAGAAAACGGTAGGGGAAAGCAGAGAGGGCGTTAGAGACAGCGAGAGAGAAAGAGAGATCTACCTGCATGGTCATGTCAAATGGCGAGGGCTCTCCATCCTCCCCCTTGATGAACATCTCTTTGGAAGCATCCACCAGAAACACCAGGCTGTCACGCCCTGTGCTCTTATAGTCCACTGGGGAGAGGGATTGCGTTGACATTACATATGCTAAACTCCATACTATTCAGTATTGATCCATTCAATCACCATCAATGTTGTTCTTACCTCCAGACTCATCCCCTTCCTCTCCATCCACATCTTCATCCTCATGGTGGTAGTCGTTCCACTGTGCCATTGTGGCATGCACTTGTCCTGCCCTGAAAATAACAAGGACACAAACGCATACACACACTGTGTGAGAAGTGTGAGAGAACTGTGGTTGTTATACAACTCTGATCAGGTAATACCAGATGATGTCGGGCCAATCAATCATCAATTTAAAGTGGCACTCCAGTCACCTTTTGGTAAGTGGCTAGTTAGTTCTTGAGAACCCAAGGGGGGTATACCCATCTTACAGTTGGCCCCCCTTTTGGGTTCTCAGCTGATGGTACGGACCATAGCTGGCTCCATGTGAACTACAATCCCGACGCTCTGTTTAATCCCGACACTCTAAACGCAAATACGCTACGGTTTTGTAAACCTTTGATACTTAACTTTTATATAAGCGAGAAAGAATCTTTCAAATACAAATACACACTTTTACTGTGCGCAGTTGAGCAAAGTTGCACCCGGCTGTTTTCACACAACGCCTCAGCTACGATATACTCTCTCACATTCACTCGTGCTGTATCTCCATTGCACCAATACATTCTACATTTCCGGTGTTTCTCAAAAGGACAGCCGGGTGCAACTTTCCAAAACTGCATACAGTAAGTATTTTGTATTTAAAAAAATATTTTTCACTTATATTCAAGTTAAGTTCCAAATGTTTCCAAAACTGTATCCAACACCTGCATTTGCGTTTAGGCAGAACATTTGGGGGAGCGTCGGTGAATAGGCGGCAGACAGCTTTCTGAATAGAGTATAATCACAGAGTTTCTAAACGGTATATTGTTAGCTTAGCAACCATTTATCAGCATAAACAACAATGCACTCTCATTTAAAGTATACAGCTGAATGAAAGCATACCTTATGGCCGAGTGTATGATGTTACAAAAGTGGTTTCGGTTGAAATAGCCAGCTACAAGCCTTGTTCTGTCTTGATGCAGGTGTTGATATCAGACCATAGTCGCGTCACATAGTTTGATCGCGTCCTCTGTTGCGACGTGAATGCGCATTACTTTTTCTATGGTGAAAATGTTGGTGGGTTCATGTAAAGCCGAAAGTGCATAGCGCCATCTACTGTGCGATTGAGGTAGAGACGATTTATGAAACAAATATTGTCTAAATATTTGTGATATCAATCGTAAAACTCACTTGCATAAACACAAGATTTCTTAATTTTATTACGGATTCTTGCGTCCATTTCATAATATTTTATCAGACGCTTTGACGAATAAGAGCACTTCCTCCCAGCTGCCCACTGCACTGAGGCTAGGAAACACTATCACCACCGATAAATCTACAATAATCGAGAATTTCAACAAGCATTTTGCTACAGCTGGCCATGCTTTCCATCTGGCTACCACTAACCCGGCCACCAACTCTGCACCCTCTGCTGCAACTTGCCCATGCCCCCCCCGCTTCTCCTTCACACAAATTCAGACAGCTGATGTTTTGAAAGCGCTGCAAAATCTGGACCCCTACAAATCAGCTGGGCTAGACAATCTGGACCCTTTCTTTCTAAAACTAGCCGCCGAAATTGTCGCAACCCCTATTACTAGTCTGTTCAACCTCTCTTTCATAACGTCTGAGATCCCCAGAGATTGGAAAGCTGCCGCGGTCATCCCCCTCTTCAAAGGGGGTGACACTCTAGATCCAAACTGCTACAGACCTATATCCATCCTGCCCTGCCTTTCGAAAGTATTTGAAAGCCAAGTTAACAAACAGATCACCGACCATTTCGAATACCACCGTACCTTCTCCGCTATGCAATCCGGTTTCCGAGCTGGTCACGGGTGCACTTCAGCCACGCTCAAGGTCCTAAACGATATTATAACCGCGATTGATAATAGACAGTACTGTGCAGCCGTCTTCATCGACCTGGCCAAGGCTTTCGACTCTGTCAACCACCGCATTCTTATTGGCAGACTAAATAGCCTTGGTTTCTCAAATGACTGCCTCGCCTGGTTCACCAACTACTTCTCAGATAGAGTTCAGTGTGTCAAATCGGAGGGCCTGTTGTCTGGACCTATGGCAGTCTCTATGGGGGTGCCACAGGGTTCAATTCTTGGGCCGAAACTTTTCTCCGTGTATATCAATGATTTCGCTCTTGCTGCTGGTGACTCTCAGATCCACCTCTACGCAGACGACACCATTTTGTATACATCTGGCCCTTCATTGGACACTGTGTTAACAAACCTCCAAACGAGCTTCAATGCCATACAACAATCCTTCAGTAGCCTCCAACTGCTCTTAAAACACTAGTAAAACTAAATGCATGCTTTTCAATCGAACGCTGCTGGCACCCGCCCACCCGACTAGAATCACCACTCTCGACGGGTCTGACCTAGAGTATGTGGACAACTACAAATACCTAGGTGTCTGGTTAGACTGTAAACTCAACTTCCAAACTCACATAAAGAATCTCCAATCCAAAGTTAAATCTAGAATCGGCTTCCTATTTCGCAACAAAGCCTCCTTCACTCATGCTGCCAAACATGCCCTCGTAAAACTGACTATCCTACCGATCCTTGACTTCGGCGATGTCATTTACAAAATAGCCTCCAACACTCTACTCAGCAAATTGGATGTAGTCTATCACAGTGCCATCCGTTTTGTCTCCAAAGCCCCATACACTACCCACCACTGTGACCTGTACGCTCTTGTTGGCTGGTCCTCACTACATGTTCGTCGTCAAACCCACTGGCTCCAGGCCATCTATAAATCACTGCTAGGCAAATCCCCGCCTTATCTTAGCTCATTGGTCACCATAGCAGCACCCACCCGTAGTCTGCGCTCCAGCAGGTATATCTCACTGGTCATTCCCAAAGCCAACACCTCCTTTGGCCGCCATTCCTTCCAGTTCTCTGCTGCCAATGACTGGAACGAATTGCAAAAATCTCTGAAGCTGGAGACTCTTATCTCCCTCAATAACTTTAAGCATCAGTTGTCAGAGCACCTTACCGATCACTGCACCTGTACACAGCCCATCTGAAATTAGCCCACCCAACTACCTCATCCCTATATTATTATTTATTTTGCTCTTTTGCACCCCAGTATCTCTATTTGCACATAATCTCTTGCACATCTAGCATTCCAGTGTTAATACTATTGTAATTATTCTGCACTATAGCCTATTTATTGCCTTACCTCCATAACTTGCTACATTTGCACACACTGTATATATATTTTCTGTTGTATTTTTGACTTTATGTTTTTTACCCCATATGTAACTCTGTGTTGTTTTTATTGCACTGCTTTGCTTTATCTTGGCCAGGTCGCAGTTGTAAATGAGAACCTGTTCTCAACTGGCTTACCTGGTTAAATAAAGGTGAAATAAAAAATAAATAAAAAAAAGGTCGTCACGGTCAACTGTGTGAAGCTAGCCACAATAAGGATTGTGGAATTTGCGGTTCGCCTTCAAAATAAGATTCCCCCATTGAAACATGCAAATGAATACAAATAATGGAATGATAGCATATTTGGACTAGATACTGAACAAGGTTGGACTGTTTTTATATACATTCAACAAAAGACAATAAGAAGTTAATTTGACCCCCCAAAAAGTAAAGACTCAGTTGAAATCGCACTGTGGATGTATTAGACTTCAGTATTGCATTGGGGGCGTACTTATAATAAGTACAATCAATCAAATAAAATCACATTTTATTTGTCACATGCGCCATCTATTTTACAATGCAAATAGTCTGGGTAGCTATTTGATTAGATGTTCAGGAGTCTTATGGCTTGGGGGTAGAAGCTGTTTAGAAACCTCTTGGACCTAGACTTGGCGCTCCGGTACCACTTGCCGTGCGGTAGCAGAGAGAACAGTCTATGACTAGGGTGGCTGGAGTCTTTGACAATTTTTAGGTCCTTCCTCTGACACCACCTGGTATAGAAGTCCTGGATGGCAGGAAGCTTGGCCCCAGTGATGTACTGGGCCGTACGCACTTCCCTCTGTAGTGCCTTGCGGTCGGAGGCTGAGCAGTTGCCATACCAGGCGATGATGCAACCAGTCAGGATGCTCTCTATGGTGCAGCTGTAGAACCTTTTGAGAATCTGAGGACCCATGCCAAATCTTTTCAGTCTCCTTAGGAGGAATAGGTTTTGTCGTGCCCTCTTCACGACGGTCTTGGTGTGCTTGGACCATGTTAGTTTGTTGGTGATGTGGACACCAAGGAACTTGAAGCTCTCAACCTGCTCCACTACAGCCCCGTCGATGAGAATGGGGGCGTGCTCAGTCCTCTTCTTTTTCCTATAGTCCACAATCATCTCTTTTGTCTTGATCGCGTTGAGGGAGAGGTTGTTGTCCTGGCACCACACGGCCAGCAATACACACAATATGCTGGAAAGTGAGGTGATTTCCCACATTTAAAGTCCCACAATAAGAGCAACGATGCTAATATTTGTGTAAACTCTTCACAATTGTGTTTTGTGGGTGCACTGAGTAGGCTGATAGCCCATTTCATGGACCCAAGATCCATAGGTCAGGCTGTACATTGCAATATGAATGTCAATACGCACAATAGACTGACTGGGGAGGTGATTTCCCACAGTCAAAGTCCTGCAATAAGAGCTACGACACTAATATTTGTGTAAACTCTTCGCATTTGTGTTCTGTGGGTGTAACTGAGTAGGCTGATACCACATTTCATGAACCCAAGATCCATAGAAAAGGCTGTTCAGTGCATATAAGTATACCTCCAATGCACCCACAGTGCGATTTCAACAGACTTAAATTAACTACTTATTGTATTTTTTTGAATTTATATAACAACATTCCAAACTTGTTTAGCATTATCTAGTCGAAATATGCCATTATTCCACTATTTGTGTCCGTTTGCATCAGTTTCAATCGTGACTTTTATTTTGAACACGAACCGCAAATTCCACTATTGTGCCTAATTCTTATTGTGGCTAGCTTCACACATGTGTCACAGTCCCACTCTATCCATTCATTGGCTGTTTTCTAAGCCGTTTAATGTATGTGCATTTTTGACAGATGTATTTTGTTTTGAGTCACAGTGACACAGCAACAACTGACTAGCATGTTAGCTAAGAACTTCCTACGGTCGTGACTTGGGAATTTGCCTCAATTATTAGATATTCGTTCTAATTAAGCTTACCTACTATATGCCTTTTTATTTTGCCCAATTTATGGCATTTCGGACTATTTGCCGAACCATAACGAGATAGCTAGCTAGATAACACTAGCTAGTCGGATAGTTAGCTAGATAACACTAGCTAGCTAGTTCGTACACATTGAAGACAACAGAGCACTCAAAAACCTAATTTTACACCATCAAGCTGAATTATGGACCCAAATAACACCTCGTACCCTGTGAAACTGTACGTTTACGACATATCTAAAGGAATGGCTCGCCAGCTGAGCCCCCTCATGCTAGGTAAGTTGCTAACGCGTTAGCTAGCTAACTAGCTAAGCCTGCAATATGTTGTTTTACCCGCGGATAGTGACGCGAGAGCTCGGAAAGATGAGCAGAGGCCGATTATGCATTTTAGGCCTATGCGCTGAACTTAGAATCACCCTTTTCTATATCTTATGTACGCCTAGCCAGCTACAAAATGTACATTTAATGTATATATAAACTATTCTGTTCTATTCACAGGTAAACAGCTTGATGGAATATGGTGAGTAAATTATGTATTCTTTGAATGATTTAAATCATTATTTTAGTGAGGACAAAGGTCAAGTTATGTATGTGAAATAAACTGTAGCCCTTTTCCTCTCACTTAGGCACACTGCTATTGTTGTCCATGGAGAGGAGTTTTTCTATGGGGGAGAGGGCATCACAAACTGCCCACCTGTAAGACAACGTTTTATTCTATTCCTTCCTACCATAAACTAGACCTGTAAATCTATGTTTGTTTTTGGTCTACAAAAGTCTAAGTTAGTTACCCCAAGCATAGGTCTTGTGAGTTGTGATGCACAACGAATCCTGGGGCTGCATATGGGCCATTGGAGGACAATTGAGCAAGCAGGTGGCAGGTAGCCTAGTGGTTAAGAGCATTGGGCCAATAACCGATAGGTTGCTGTTTCGAATCTCAGAGCCAGCAAGGTGGAAGAATGTGCCGTTCTGCAAGGCAGTTAAGCAGTTAAACCCAGAACAACACCTGCTCCCCAAGGCAGTTAAACCCCAAACAACACCTGTTCCCCAAGGCAGTTAAACCCCAAACAACACCTGCTCCCCAAGGCAGTTAAACCCTGAACAACACCTGCTCCCCAAGGCAGTTAAACCCCGAACAACACCTGCTCCCCAAGGCAGTTAAACCCCGAACAACACCTGCTCCCCAAGGCAGTTAAACCCCGAACAACACCTGCTCCCCAAGGAAGTTAAACCCCGAACAACACCTGCTCCCCAGGGTTGAATGCATTCAGTTGGACAACTGACTGAGCATCCCCTTTCTCTTACAAGCTGTTTGTATTTGTTGTGTGTTTTAGGGCGGGACGTCCCTAGGACAACCAAACTCCATAATAGACCTGGGCACGACAGAGGTGACTGAGGAGATCTTTATGGAGTACCTGTCTTCACTGGGAGAGTCCACGTACAGGTGAGGCTGTGGTACATGATGGATCTCAACCTGGTGTATCTCAACTCCACAGAAATTAGTGTGATGTGCAGTCTCGCTCTCGCTCTCTCGCTCCCCTCTATCTTTACTCTGTTCCTATCTTTGCCTCATACCTTCATACAACCCCTCCTCTCTTTCGCTCTCTCTGACCCCCCGCCGCTTATCTGCAGGGGGAACCAATACCATCTGTTTGAGTGGAACTGTAACACGTTCAGTAACGAAGTGGCCCAGTTCCTCACCGGCAGCAAGATCCCCGGCCACATCACAGACCTGCCAGCTGAAGTGCTCTCCACGTGAGTTACCCCTCTCTCCCCTCCCCTGTCTCTATAAAAATAAAAATAAAAAAACAAGAACCTGTTGTCAGACGTGTGGAGTGTAGTACGGGGCATAGCACAGCAATAGTGCTGCAGTCTTCCAAGCACATATTGTCCATGAGTGACATGGGTAAGAATTCCACCCACAACACTCTCTCCTCTACCTGTAACCCTAAATAGACTTTCAATACTGTCTGAATAAAGATAAAAACACGGAAGGAGGACAAGTCTCCGTTCACATGTAGAGTGTAGACACTATAATGTTATAAATTATGATAATATTTATGATATAAATCAGGACAGCTTGTTCAAAGCACAAGTCGCTGTGTATGGCGTTCATCACGTTACTCCCCCATGATCTGATTCTAATTTGTGTGGTGTTCCACTCTCTGTCACCCACAGGCCTTTCGGCCAGGCGCTACGCCCTCTTCTGGACTCCATCAATATCGCACCTCAGGGGGGAAACTCCTTCAACGGACACTATGGCCAGAGATAGACCAGAGATAGACCGATAACACAGGTGCACAGAGTAATATACTATACCATCAGTGTGTGTGAGGGGTGGGAGATCTGCAGCTCTGGACCTTTTTGAGTCCCTTAGGCTGCGTTTACACAGGCAGCCCAATTCTGATATTCTTTTCACTAATTGGTCTTTTGACCAATCAGATCAGCTCTGAAAAAGATCTGATGTGATTTGGTCAAAATACCAATTAGTGACAAAAAGATCAGAAATGGGCTGCCTGATCCAGGCAGCAACCTAACCCTACCTGACACCAGCCCAGCCTGGCACACCCCATCCCCAGCCTGGCTACACCCCATCCCCAGCCTGGCACACCCCCTCCCCAGCCTGGCACACCCCATTCCCAGCCTGGCACACCCCATCCCCAGCCTGGCACACCCCATCTCCAGCCTGGCACACCCCCTCCCCAGCCTGGCACACCCATTCCCAGCCTGGCACACCCACTCCCCAGCCTGGCACACCCCATTCCCCAGCCTGGCACACCCCATCCCCAGCCTGGCACACCCCATCCCCAGCCTGGCACACCCCATCCCCAGCCTGGCACACCCCCTCCCCAGCCTGGCACACCCCATCCCCAGCCTGGCACACCCCCTCCCAGCCTGGCACACCCCAGCCCCAGCCTGGCACACCCCAGCCCCAGCCTGGCACACCCCAGCCCCAGCCTGGCACACCCCAGCCCCAGCCTGGCACACCCCAGCCCCAGCCTGGCACACCCCATCCCCAGCCTGGCACACCCCAGCCCCAGCCTGGCACACCCCAGCCCCAGCCTGGCACACCCCAGCCCCAGCCTGGCACACCCCAGCCCCAGCCTTAACTTGAGTCTACCTAAGTCTCCCCTTTTTCACTATAAACTTGGCCTGATCCGTGCCTGTATTTTAATATGTCCACGGTTATCAAGATGGCATTAGGCCGTAAGTCTATAATAAGATGAAGCTTTCTTCTACTCTCCATAGGATCCCATGATCGGCTGAATGTAAAACTAGGGAGCTGCAGGGTTTCTCTCTAGAGCTAGAACTGTAGCTCTTTCCTACACAGGGGTGGGTGGGGGTAGGGTATCCTTTTACATACCTTCTATTTTTTAGTAAATAAGTATTAAGCTATTTTACTGTTTCATTGTTTGTTTTGTGTTTTTTAATGACCATGACATGACTGCATTGCCACTAGAGAGGGAGAAGGGTTAGAGAAGAAGAAAAGGAGATAAAGTGGTGATAAAATCTTGACAAATATACTTGCACTTGTCTTTGTATTGGGAACTTGCGTATTCACGTATCTTTGTACCAACTTCCAACTGTCTTGTGTCAAGGTTTATCCATCCCTTGAACACATCGTCGCACACTCAGGGTCATCGCGTGACAATGACCTCAAAGTACTGAATGTGTGATTTTACAATAATACACTGAACAACTGCATCTAAGATTTTTATAACTAAACCAAGATGGACCACAGCCTGCCGTTTCAAATGGGAAACAAATGAGTCATAGTGGGCAGAACAAACAAGGAGGTGGGGAGAGCCAAGTACGAGCTAGCGAGATCCTATTGGCGCGTTCTAGCAAACATTTGCATATTTCTGTTAGGGAACGCCTACTCTGTGAAGTGTGCGTGTGCAATAACTCAATTCGCCTTTGCACTTCTTCTAAACAATGCCATTTTTTAAAACTTTAGCCAAGGGTGAAGTCTAGAAAACAGTGTCCTCTCTTTTCATAACAGATTATAGTTTTGGGCACAGAAAACTGTATTGAGATAAAATGTTTAATCGATGAGTAAATTAGCAGAATCTTGGCCAAAACCCATCTCGTTCCATCTTCTCCCGCTGCCGGCCACTGGGATTCCTCTCACTACCATATTTCGTAGTGAGTGGAACGCCAAGCGGATGCTTCACATTTATACAGCCGGTGAAATATCTGGCTCATTGTTCTATCTGTGTCTGGATCTTTCCAGAGTTTTTGTATTCTCACAGTGGTGGAAAAAATACCCAATTGTCATACTTGAGTAAAAGTAAAGATATGTTAATATAAATGACTCAAGTGAAAGTCACCCAGTAAAATACTACTTGAGTAAAAGTCTAAAAGTATTTGGTTTTAAATATACTTAAGTATCAAAAGTAAAAGTTTAAATAATTTAAAATTCCTTATATTAAGCAATCCAGACGGCACCATTTTCTTGTTTTTTACATTTACGGATAACCAGGGGCACACTCCAACATTCAGACATAATTTACAAACAAAGCATTTGTGTTTAGTGAGTCTGCCAGATCAGAGGCAGTAGATTACCAGGGATGTTCTCTTGATAAGTGTGTGAATTGGACCATTTTCCTGTCCTGGTAAGCATTCAAAATGTAACGAGTACTTTTAGGTGTCAGGGAAAATGTATGGAGTAAAAAGTACATTATTTTCTTTAGGAATGTAGTGAAGTAAAAGTAGTGAAAAATAAAAATAGTAAAGTACAGATACCAAAAAAAAAACTACTTAAGTAGTACTGGAAAGTATTTTTACTGAAGTACTTTACACCACTGTATTCTCATACCTTTCAAATGAGCAGGAATACACCAAATACAGGAATTCTTTAAGATTGAAATGTTGTGCAGCCTGATGTTGGTCCAGCATAGGAATCAGAAAATCACTCTTCATATCAAGAGCCATGCCAACTGCCATTCACATTTTCCCTGATATTAAGTATCAGTGATTTGTTTTTTTGTGTGGTATTTTTATTTATTCAGATAATATATAGACAAGGCTGTCTTTGCAAGTTAAATATTTTAATTAATTAAGTAATGTCATTATGATCATAAATATCATTATAACTGTTGTATTATCAAGATTAATATATTCAGTAATTCACATTGGTATTAAGTCAAAGTTGTGATATCCCCCCAAAAATCCATCCTTACTCTCTCGACTATTGTGATGTAAAAGATCCCGTTTATATTTTACGAAACTCTTGCCTCTGCTTGATAAAGAACCTTTCTCTAAGTATGGTTGTCTGTGTGTCTTCTTGTGTTAACTCAACACTCTTTAAGAAAGATCCAGAAGGACGGAGTTGGACAGTGAAATGCACAACACACCACAGTGCAGTGTGCTACCAGCCTGTCTATGGCTATTCTAGAACTGGTAGTTTACTGAACTAATACTTCAAATATCCCTTCACCCAGATAGCCAGTGATCAGTGGGGAGAGCGTACTACTACATACGTAATGTGATAGTGTAAGAGACTACTTATTCAGCATACAAGTGCTTTTGATTATTGTAATTCCCAGAATGGGCCACATGGTGGGGATGGTGGTTTTCTAGTTTCAGATCTTCTTATTGTCTTGACTCCAGTCTCCTGACAACATGTTGAGAAAACAAAACCATTAACCTGTGTTTGAGCAGCTTGAACATCATTGCTTTGGAAGGTAATGGTAAGTGTATGTGCACCCCCTTAGGGTGCCATGATGTTTTTTCATTATACTCTCTTGCCCACTGTAGCCTCTCCCTGCATCTTTGTTTTCCTCAGCTGTGGCAACGGAGTATAGCTACAAAGATGAAACACACCACATAGTATTGATCATTTTATCTAAAAAAACAAACAAATCAAGTTATACAAATAACACTTAAGGTATATTTTGAGAGAGACATTTAAAAGTCTTACAATAGTAACATCATATTTCACCTTAATCTGACGTCATTGGCATCAAAAACTAAAAAATAACATATACTGTACGTACATGTACAAATAAGTAGTTTGGTCTTTGATATAAATATTTTTTGCTCCAATATATCCTTGATTTTTATTCAGCACATAATATCATACATGTATCACACTTCTATTAGATAATTATATATTTGGTCATAGTATCTTAAACATTTAATACTGCACGGTGTAATTTTGACTGAAGTAGGTATATTCATATTATGCATTGGTCTAGTTGTATTTGTCTCAAAAGAGGCTGTAGATTCAGTCTTCAGCTGGTGACAGCTTTGTTACTGTGCTGCAGTGAGGCAGCCCGAGGTGTGGATCTACAACTGAGCAGAAGATACCCTTAGTCAGACAACATCAAAACATCAGGGATTCCCAAAGGGGAACTGTAAGAATCTGTATGTCAGATCAAAGTTTATTGGTTGTGTACACAGATTTGCAGATGTTATCGCAGGTGCAGCGAAATGCTTGTTTCTAGCTTCAACCGTGCAGTAATACCTAGCAATACAAAAACATTTAAGACACACCTAATCCAGAAAAATTAAGAAATCAGAACGAGCAATGTCAGAGACCGGAACATAAATATATATATACATATATATAATGTATGTGGGAGTATTACCTCTCCTTTTACCAAACACACATTGTCAACAAGACACATCTTATTTTAGAATAGAATGGATACTAATTTGGCTCTGAACTCCAGCTGATTAGGTCACACCATGGTGGACTCTGGTCTGACAGATCAATTGCAATTCAATGAACTCTATCAATTTAAATATACTTTTTCTCAGATCATAAAGCCCTTATCCAAACAAAATATTAAAACTCCACATCTCATAATAAACTACATTATATACAGTGAAAACACGATTTTCTGTTTTGGTATGAATGGTAAATGATGTATTGCCCATCAAATTAAATGGTGCTTACAAGAATACATAATTATACAGTGCATTCGGAAAGTATTCAGACCCCTTCACATTTTCATAATTTTGTTATGTTACAGCCTTATTCTAAAATGGATTAAATAGTTTTTTCCCCTCATCAATCTACACACAATACCCCATAACGACAAAGCAAAAACAGGTTTTTAGAAAATTTTGCAAATGTATAAAACATAAAATACGGAAATATCACATTTACATAAGTATTCAGACCCTTTACTCAGTACTTTGTTGAAGCACCTTTGGCAACGATTGCAGCCTTGAGTCTTCTTGGGTATGACGCTACAAGCTTGACACACCTATATTTGGGAGTTTCTCCCATTCTTCTCTGCAGATCCTCTCAAGCTCTGTCTGGTTGGATGGGGAGCGTCGCTGCACAGCTATTTTCAGGTCTCTCCAGAGATGTTCGATCAGGTTCAAGTCCGGGCTCTGGCTGGGCCACTCAAGGACATTCAGAGAATTGTCCAGAAGCTACTCCTGCGTTGTCTTGGCTGTATGCTTAGGGTCGTCGTCCTGTTGGAAGATGAACCTTCGCCCCAGTCTGAGGTCCTGAGTGCTCTGGAGCAGGTTTTCATCAAGGATCTCTCTGTACTTTGCTCCGTTCATCTTTCCCCCGATCCTGACTAGTCTGCCAGTCCCTGCCGCTGAAAAGCATCACCACAGCATGATGCTGCCACCACCATGCTTCACCGTAGGGATGGTGCCAGGTTTCCTCCACATGTCACACTTGGCATTGAGGCCAAAGAGTTCAATCTTGGTTTCATCAGACCACAGAATCTTGTTTCTCATGGTTTGAGAGTCCTTTGGCAAACTCCAAGCGGGCTGTCATATACCTTTTACTGAAGAGTGGCTTCCGTCTGGCCTCTCTACCATAAAGGCCTGATTGGTGGAGTGCTGCAGAGATGGTTGTCCTTCTGGAATGTTCTATCTGCACAGAGGAGCTCTGTCAGAGTGACCATCGGGTTCTTGGTCACCTCCCTGACCAAGGCCCCACTCCCCCGATTGCTCAGTTTGGCCAGGGGGCCAGCTCTAGGAAGAGTCTTGGTGGTTCCAAACTAATTCAATTTAAGAATGATGAAGGCCACTGTGATCTTGGGGACGTTCAATGCTGCAGAACGTTTTTGGTACCCTTCCCCAGATCTGTGCCTCGACACAATCCTGTCTCTGAGCTCTACGGACAATTCCTTCGACCTCATGGCTTGGTTTTTTCTCTGACATGTACTGTCAACTGTGGGACCTTATATAGA